TTTCCAGACATGAATTAATTCACAACTTTCCCCATGAGGGAGGCTCATTATTGCCGGCACGGATAGGTGGATGAAGCCAGGGAAATTAGTCAAAACATCAGGAATAGCAGGAACTTGGAAATCAGGCACCAGAGCATGGGGGTAGAGATGGAATTGGACAGCGGGCAGTCTGTTTATTCCCCTAGGCTGCGTGGTCCGTGAGGGACAGGAGGATGGTTCCCATGAACTGTCCTCACTAACGGAGGGGAAGGGAAACACTGAGAGAGCTACAGGATTGTCTTCCCGGGGCTGGCTGCCAAAGCTATCTGCCAGGCAGCGATCCCCAGCGCTTTAGCCCCTGGGGACCGTGCCAAAGAGGAAGGGAGAGGGTGTTTCCTAAGTCGCCTGGAGCTGAAGTTCTGGGACATGAAATGAGAGCAAACAAGCCGTGGCTGAAGGGCAGGGCTCGGGGCTTTCTCAGCGCAGCTGATTATGGTGTGGCAACTTCCCTGTGATTGCTGCCATCCCTTTTACAGGAACTGCCAGTTCTTATAGCTTTCCTTTTCTTTTTTTGCCTTCAGGGAAATGCCGGAGCTGCAATAACAATCAGCATGAAAAGACTCTTGCAACTCGGCACGCAAGAGAAAGTCCTGCCCTGGAGCCAGTCACCAAAGGGTACACGGTTAGGGCGAGCGGCACCGTCAGCTGTAATACAGCCCCCAGACTCCAAGCTCCCCTCCGCACACAGCTGCCTGCAGAGCACACGGAGGCTGGGTGCGATGGCAGACGGGCGCTTGGCATCCAGTGGCACCGGGGTGCTGGGGGAACAGGGCTATGGGAAATGTCACCAGGGAGGGAGGGAAGGAGGTGCTGGGGGAACAGGGCTAGGGGCAAGAGCATCCTGCTGTTGGTGCAGCACTACGGGCTCAGCCACGGACCCACGTCCCCATTGGGCCAGGCACTGCGCGAACCCAAGGAGCCCTGCCCCGAGCGGCTCATGGTCCATGCAGAAGTGGGGTTCGCTGCCACATCAGGATGCACATGGGTTTACTCCGACCTGATTACACTGACATAGACCCGTCTGCACTGGGGGGAAGCCTCCTATCCAACCCAGCCCACGGCAAAACCCCCCATGGGTTTCCCTGTGGCTGGAACCCACCAGGGCACAGGGATGCAGCCCCAGCTAGAGCAGCATAAGTGCATGGGTCTCCGGGGCTGGGCACAGATTATTGCAGAGCAGAGATCCCCCCACACACCCTGCTGCACCCTCCCCTCCATGCGTTTACCCTGAGGTCCCAGGCAAGCTGCGGCCCCACTCCCCCTGCACTAGGCCAGGGGGAGCTCTCTCCTTCGCTCCCAGCCACACTCACCCAGGCAGGGCGATGTCTCCAGCTGCAGCTCTGCCACCTCCTCTCTGCTGGCAGCAGCATCCCTGGCTATAAGCAGAGGCGGGGGCAGAGGCGGGGCCCGGGCTGGGGCTGCCCTGTGGGCTGGCCCCACCGAGCAGGGACTGCCCTCTGCCCAGCCCAGCCTCTGCCCAGCTGTGCAACAAGGAGCCTCTGCTTCCCCTGCCACACGCAGTGTCCCCCCACACAGCAGGGCAGAGAAACACCGGGCAGGGCTCCCACCCATGCAAGGCGAAGCCCAAGCCTGGCACAGCCCAGCAGCCAGGGGCAGACTATGAAAATCGGTTCACACCAGCAGCCGGGAGCCTCATCTCAGCCCGTTGCCTGGAGCTGCACCCACCTGCCATCTGCCTGCGCACACCGCCTTGCACGGCAGAGTCCCGATAGCAACCCGGCTGCAGGTACTGCCCAGCCGTGGGACGCACCATGTACCAGGCAAGCATTACAGAGCACCCACCTGGGACGGGGAGAGAAGGAGGTCTTGCTCTTCCCGGGAAGTGGTGGCAAGCAGAATCCATCCAACGCATCTGTTTCCCTAGGGGTACATGCATACCTGTAGCTGCTCCCCAGAGGCTGGCACAGTCTTTCCTAACCTGAATGCATTGCTACTTGGCAGGGAAAATGCCAGCGTCCTTCCACGCTCATATTGCAAGCTTTCAGGACGCAGTGACTCTCAACCAGGTGGCCATGGCACCCAGGGGTGCCTTGAGATCCTATCGAGGGGAGCCACGCAGTGGTAGCACTGTTTGGCAAGCAAGTATAATTCACAAGACAAGACAACCCCCGAGATTTCACGTAGAAATCCATTATGTCAAAAAAACCCAACCCACCCTGACCCGCTGCGGTCCTTCTGAGTTCTCTGCAACAGAAAAAAAGCTCTATTGTTTGTCTGTAGTCAAAAACTGAAAGAAAAGGACTCGCTGGCATGTTCTGAGGGGCACACCAAGTCCAATGTGGTTGAGAGCCACTGGAGCCTTACCATGCCTTTCCAAAGGGACTGGTATTCTCATCCCCTCGGCATTTAAAGTCTCAATTTTTGAATGTCCCTTCACATTGGCGGACTCCAAATATAAGATGCTTGCAGGAGTAACTGCCAGAGATGCTCAACAACCCACCCCCAACACCCATGGCAGAGGTAGACAGAGGGTATTCTTCTAGAGGAAAAAAGGATGATACCCTTGGCCCAGCCTCCTCCCATACATAACTCAGGCTCCACTCATACCCACGCTGAGACACAGAGCATGCAAGTCTGTGCAGGTTTGTAGACCAGACTCATCCCCGTGCCTGCAGTGCTTCCTGCAAGCTCCTTTCTCGAAGTGGGCAGGTGGCTGAAATTCATAAGTTTCTTGCTCTCGGGAGCATTTTGGCAGCTGGCCGTCGTGAGACCCCACCAGTGTCTTCATAGACATGCAACACAGCATAAGCCTGTGTGCTACCTCCAGAAGGGGCTTGCCAGCCCTAGGCCCACTCCCACTTCACAGACCCCAGTGAACTGCACCTACCTTTGGAGACTGGCAGTTTCCTTCCAGCTCTTGGACGGTCCCGCTGGGCGAGGAAGTATGCTGTCCTCTGGGGACTTGGTGTCGGGGGTCTTACCTCCCGGAGCAGACAGTAGCACCGGTCAATGCTGAAAAGCCATTGCTAAGGACACCAGCAAATGCCTTGAAGTGGGGGCAAACCCTGATCAGCCCAAACCACACACAACCCCTCTTGGCTCTTCTCTGCACACAGGGGTGGGCAAGGGTGAAGCTAAGCTGACTGCTCTCAACCAGCGCTGCCCACCAAGTCCAGTATCGCTGCATGGGCTCCATCCTCATTAACGATCTGAAGAATGGGCTATCGCAGTGCCAGGTAACACTGTGCCAACACAGCACAGCGGTGTGCGCCCATTACTTTGCCACGTGACTGGAGGGGCCAAAATACTGAGACTTAGTCTAATGCCACAGCCATGCCAGTCAGCAGTGTGGCAAGATCACACCCTCTGGCTCATACGGCAATCCCAGCACAACACTTTTTGGGTGCAGCTGTGCTGAGGGATGACAACTGCTACTGGCAGGGTTTGCCGTTAGGGGAAATAGTGGGGCGAAGCTGGCAGGAAAAGCCTTCTGCCAGGTCTCCTCGAGGGAGCTGCATTCCCTGCCCTGCGGGAACAGTTGTGGGGGCAGCAGCCCTGTAACATAGGCTGGCTCTGAGCAAACCACGGAGGCTTGGTGGGGGCTTCCAGGCCACATCATACCCAACATGGCAACTGGCTGTGGCAGTGCCATTGTCCGCAGTCTGGGTGGAGGGTGGCCATGGCGCCGATCCCCAGGGCTGCACAAGCTAATGCAACTGTGAGCGTCTAGGGAGACGGACTCTTCAGGCTGGATTCACTTCCCAGGCTCCTGTTTCCCGCTTCCCCATGACCCGAGGCATTGGAGACATTAGGAAACAAGACCTCTTCTGTTCCTAGTTCCAGGGTTGAGTGAGGTTGGGGGGGGGAGATTGCCCCCCCACCTTGTGTAAATAAAGCAGGAAATCCCCAGTTAAATATTTGGCCTCCAAACTGTGTTAGGAATGTCCTTGTGATCCATTTACTCAACCCTCTTAGCCCAGCGTGGTGCAATGCAAGCTAGGAGTGGTGTGTGCCATCCCTCTGTAGCTGAGGGATGGCACACAACCCATCCTGTTGTAGGAAAAGTTAGATGTGGCATTGAGGTCCCTGGCACATTGCAAACCACGGGTTGCCTTCACCCACACCTTAAATGCAGCCGCCTCCAGGGTGGAACGTGGCAGCTCTCTCAAGCCAGCAGCACTTGACCAACCAGCCACAGGAGGCAGAGCAATGAATGAGAGAAAGACCCTGTGCTAAAAATGATGGGGATGATGGTTCATCCTGACCCTGCTTCCCCAAAGCCGTCTGGCTGCGCAAGACTTGCAACCCAATCCACACCCCAGGGGTTTCAGCTGGGCGGTCTGCTTGTGGATCCAGCCACTGGGAATAAAGGAGGCATCGGCAGCTGCAGTCATTCACTCCCATGGGTCCATGCATGGTGGGGAGGTGCTGGCATTGGCACCACTGCACAACCCGGCTGCTTCCTCTGCATTGCTTCATGGTTCAGAGGACCTCGCTCAGCCTTGCAGCCCAACCCCCTCTGCTCTGGTCCCTCTCTACCCACTTGGCTGGGCATCAACCAAGGGGGGCACCTCATACACTGCCAGGAGCTCCCTCAGCCCCTGCCCCAGCGGCCCCTCCTGCCAACAGACAAGAGGGAGGGAGAAACACCTTCCCAGTCTTCTCCCTCTCTCAGAGACCTGCGTGAGCCCTGTAGCCTGGCAGGGCCCTGGTCCCTTGCCTGGGTACTGAGCCCTCACACACTGCCAGGGGGAGCGGAGCAGCTCCCAAACGGACACGGGGTCCCTCACCGGGACAGAGACCCCCCTTGAAGCCACTCACCTAGGGGCCCAGGACTGAGAACCCGGAGGAGCAAATTGCGCACATCCTGCTCTAAGACCATGCAGCCCATGGAGGCTGCTTGGGGGAGAGAGTAGGGTGTCTTCCCGCTCCCCATCATGCTGCTCCACGCTGGACACATCCCCACCCAGAACCAGACCAGCTGCAGGTTGTACTCACAAAAACAGCTTTATTTGGAACAAAACCAGCAATAAATACAGGTGCAGAGGAACCAGCTTAATTGTTTCTATGACTGTGACTGAGCACAGCGACACCGCACTTGGAACAGAGCAACACGACAGTCCCAGAGCTCCCGCCCGGCCCTGCCCCTACCCCCTGGCCCTTCAAACCTCACCTCCTACCCCCACCACAACTCAGCACAGCATGCCCCTAGCCTAGGGACCATGATGGGACCTGTGCAGCACCAGGCTGGTTTGCAAACCCTAGTTCATTGTCAGGGATACCACTTGCATCTCAGAGGCATGCACCCCTGGGCATTCATAAGGCAGAATCAAGAGGACGGGGCACTGTGCTGGGACTCGGTTTCAACTCCTGATGTTGCTTGTGGCCCGGGGAAGTTGCACCCATTTCTGCTCCTACCTCTGTAACACTCAGTCCTGACCCGCTCTGGAGCTATGAGCCGTGGGTGTGAACCAAGGAGACCCAACAGCACACGCATCCCTGGGTGAACTGGGGCTAATAGGCTCCAGCTCAGGAGAGAAAATGAGAGTATGTTAATATCTGCACGGTCCAACAAGGCTTGAGGGATGGAGACGGCTTGTCAGACAGCGATCCACAGGGACAGGAAAGACCTACCCCATGCTAGGAGGAGGGACGGGGTGAGGAACTCCTTTGATCACAAGGTCTGCAGAGAGCTGCAGGGAAGCTGCAGCTCAGGGGCCACAGGCTGAACCTCACTGATGTGGCTGGGGCAGCAGCTGATCTGACGTGTCTGCAACAGTGCCTGGCACAACAGGGCTGACATCTGGGTTGGGCCTTGCTATAACGCACATCCGCCATGGCCAAGTGACTCCAGCATCTCCCCCCAAGGCTCCTGAGCAATGTATATTCCAAAGAGCCAAAACCCTGATCTAAGCAGGCTGCTGGCACCTCTGCCCCGATCCTCCGTATCTGACCCTGACTGCAGCCAAGGCCTTGCAGGAGCTGTGTTTGGTTAGAGGCGGCACATGACAACAGGCACAGGGATAGCCGCCCTGTCGCAACAGCGATTGCCCCAGCACCTGATGTTTGCAGGAGGATCCCAGGCTGCAGCAAACCTTCGCCTCCCCTACACCCACCACAGCCCCCGCTGCACTCACAATGGCACAGTGCAGCATCCCAGAGGCCCAGCACCCTGCCACGTCCCGGGCGCTCGCTCCTCTGCTGTGTCAGCGGCTGATGCCCTGAGGAAAGTCCAGCTGACAGCAGATCAGGAGGCAGAGGTATCCAAAACAGCCCTGAGGCTGTCCCAAGGGGTCAGTGCAGTGAGCTGGTAGCAAGCCAAGGGGCTGAACTGGGAGGGAGAGGGACAGCCAAGCAGATGCAGGCAGGAGGGAGTTTGACAGGGTCACCTGAAGCCTCTTGGAGGGCACCAAACTCAGGGCAGGGAACGGGGCACAGGGATCTGAAGCACAGACACAGCAAAGCAGAGTGGGCTTCCCAGACAGAGCAAGGCACCCCGTCCTGGAGACATGGTCAAGAACAGAGGGAGAAGAGAGCAAGGTCTGGCGGGGCTGGGTCTTTCCGCACACCTTCCCCAGCCCAGCCTGCTCTCAGTAGGGGTAGGGTGAGACCGAGATGAGGATGATGAAGACGCTGTGTACCTGCTGCTCACCCACAGCCTGAGCCTGCACCTTGAGGCGGTAGAGGCCGGGGGCATGGAGCGGGCGCAGCGTGGAGATGACGCCGCGGCCCCGCTCGGCCCGCACAGCGAAGGGGCTGCCTGGGTCCTGCTCCAGCACATGGAAGAGGGTACGGTTGTGGGGTGCGCCGCCCGGGGAGAGCGCAGCCAAGTGCACAATGTCATGGCCGGCCAGGATGCCAAAGGGCAGCGGGAGGAGCTTGTACTGCAAGGCCGAGGGGCCGCCCAGGCTGCAGTCCCCCAGGCAGCGGCGGAGGCACACTCTGCATAAAAACGGGCATGTGTCAGCATGGGGGTCCGTGCACAGGACTCCTGGGTCCCAACCCTGCCATAGGCTGAGCCTGTGTGCCTCAGTTTCCTCACGAGGCACCAAGGGGGTTTGCTGCTGCAGGGCCCTGCACGCCTGGTGCTGTGACCGCTCAAAGCACTGGGTATTGGGGATGTGCTAAAAAGACAAGTGCCAGTCTGCTCCTGTCACCCTGGAGCCAGGGGTCCAACCCCTCGTAGGGAAACTGAGCCCCCATCTCTGGCGGCTCCATCCATCCATCCAGGAGGGAGGGAGGGAGCAGCTGCTCTGCTCAGGGCTGGTCCCTGGGGAGCAGCAGTTCTTCTTCCCACCTCTCTCCCACTGCTGTACCCCAGCCCCGCTCCTTACCCCGGGCTGGTGCCTCTCCAGTAGCCAGCAGGGCAGGGTGTGTGCACGCACTGGGAGCCTCCACGCGTATTAAAGCACAGCTGGGCTGGACTGCACCGTGTCCTCCCATCTGCACATTCATCTATGTCTGCAGAGGGAGAGGCAGACAGCGGCTGAACAGGGACCACTCTGAGGGGGACCCTCCACAGCTCTGCTCCACTCACTACCCACCCCCCAGGCCTCAGCAGGTCTGGACGCCTTCAAGCTCTATGCAGCCGGTCTCAATGGAGCTCTCCTCTGCCAGCCCCTGGCTGTAAGTCCAGAGGGAGCTGCAGGATCGGGTAGAAAGAGTGCAACCGGCTGCTTCCAAGTCCTGCCAGGGACAAGGGGGCTGCACAGCAGCTCATCAGCAGCCGTAGCTGAGCACTGCTGTCTAGTGGCCTGAGCACAGGGGTAGAAGCCCTAGAGATCCCGCATCCTGCAGCATGTCCCTTGGGGAAGCCCCGTCCTCTGCCTGCTCAGTGACCCATCTGAGCACAGCACTGCGAGGCTCCAGACTTTAATGAGTCAAATCCCCACCCCCGTGGCAGAAGGGACCTGCCAGCACTCTGGGAAGCCCTGTGGTCAGCTGGCTTTAACCCCTGGCAGAGAGCTGCGGAGCAGCAGTGGAAAGGTATGGCAACCAAGGTTTATCAAGGGACAAGGCTGAGATGGATCTGTTTTCAATGGCAAGCACGCACACAGCCCCCGAGCAGTGCCTGGCCCCACACTGACCTTGGCAGGTCTTCCCGTTAGGCAGCAGGCGGTAGCCAGGAGGACACAGGCATCGGTAGCTGCCCTCGGTGTTTTTGCACTCATGCTGGCACAGATTCTGGGCCTGGCACTCATCAAGATCTATGAGATATCAGGGAAGAAAGCAGGCAGGCATCTGAGCAGGGCATGCTTTGCAACCTGCTCCCGTGTGTGCGTACAGCAGTGTCGCCCCTCAGGTCGCCCACAGACAGCCAGGCACAGCTTAAAGCCTGTGGAAGGCTCCCAGCTCCCTTCAGGCTTCCTTGTGGGGGTTTCTCAAGGCTTGGGCACCCTCCAGGGCACCAAGGCTTCCACCCTGGTGCTTCTAACTCTGTGGCTGAGATGCAGAAAGGAGGATTGGGGGAAAGGGAGCAGGAGAGAGGGGGCAGACTGCTGCGTGTGGGGCACTCTGGAGCCCAGAGCCCTGCTGTCTCTGCCAAGCCAGACTCATGGGCATTAACACCTGGTGCAGCATGGACCCCGGTCTCAGTCACAGAGTGCCCAGCAACCGGGGCTGGTGCCAGCCTGCAGGTACCCCAGCAAAGCTAGAGAGCATCGCCCCAAGCACCCCACCCATGCAACCCACTGGAGCACCCAGGGGCAACGGCCTCACCAATGCATGCGCCGCTCCGCCTGGTGAATCCCAGCGGACACTGGGCTCGGCTGCTGCGGCTCAAGGTGTTCCTGGCTGGGCTGAAGGAGAACCAGGTGTAATAGGACCTGCCATGCGAGGGGTTGGGCAGTCTGAGCCACTGCAGATGGGCCCCTCTGTGGGCATCAGTCATGTTGCCCTCGGCCCTCTCCAGTGCGGCACAAGACCTGCCATCCCTGAGTAAGGCCTTCCCTGGTGGGCACAGGCACTTGTAGCTGCCCTGGAGATTGTGGCACTGGAAAGCACATGGCGAAGGCACGTGCAGGCATTCATTTATGTCTGAGGGGGAGAGAAGTCACTGTGAGGATGAGAAGCCAGCTCCCCATGTGTCCACAGGTCCTTTCATCCCATGTGGGATCTGCTGTTACATCACCCCCACCCCTCACAGCTGGGGAAACTGAGGTACAGGGGCAAGGGAAGGGATGAGCCCAAAGCCAGAGAGCGAGTTGGGGTCACAGCCCCTGCGACCGTCTGTCTCCCCCTGCCTCCAGCTCAGTCTCTCAGTGCATGCTGCCACCCCTGCTTTGGCTAGTCCAGAATTAAGTCTCTCTCTCACCCAGGCAGGGGCGGCCGGTGCCCTGGGACTGGTAGCCCCGAGGGCATGCACAGTGGTAGCCACCGACAGTGTTCTCGCAGAGCTGGTTGTAGCGGCAGGCATGGGACCCCTCCATGCATTCGTTGACATCTGAGGGCAGGAGGGGAGCACAGGTCACAATGCCGAGTGCCAAGCCAAGGCCCCTCCCAGGGGGGTCACGGAGCCCTTCCCACTGCCGCCCACCTCCCAGGGCTTCCTGCTGCCCAGTCCCAGGCTCCACACTGATGAAAGGACCCATCTGACCCTGAAGCCAACTGGAATCTTTCTCTGAATTGGGCTCAGTGAAGACAGTCAATGCCCAGGACACGGGGACTGGATGACCCCCAGAGCTGGGGATGGCACATGGAGTTTGCACCCATAGGTCAGCGGTGGGGAAAGCCAGCATCGCTGTGCCAAGGCTGGCCTAAAACAGCTCCGTGTCTCTTGGGATCACCCTGCCAGCTGGCACCGGGTCACTGAGCCCCTAGCAGTGAGGAGCCCTTCTTGCCAGCTGGCTCAGCGGCCTGGCATCCTATGCCCTCTTCCAGCAGTTGCCAGGGCTGTGGCCCATGGTGGGAGCCATTGGGGAGCTGCTGCTCCTGCTTCTGGCCTCATTCTTGACAGCAGAGAGCTCTGCAGCAGGGCTGCCAACCCACCGCCTGCAGAGCCCAGCCTCCCTGCCCCATTGTGAGCCTCTGCAGGAAGCTGCATTACCTTCACACCCGGCTCCATCCACGCCCGGGCGGAAACCAGCCCCGCAGCGCAGTAGGCAGCGGTACGACCCCACCAAGTTCACGCACCGCTGGCCCAGGTGGCAGGCGTGGGTGCCCTGCATGCACTCGTCCACATCTGGGGAGAGAGTACAGCGTGAGCATGGCCCCACACCCTTCCCGTGCAAGTCTTGCTCAGCAGTCCAGGGAGGCCCTGCTTACCTCTGCACTTCCTGCGGTCCAGCGCCAGGGTGTAGCCACCAGGGCAGGAGCAGGAGAAGCTGCCCACAGAGTTGTGGCAGGTGTGTGAACACGGGCGCCTGGGGGCAGCGCACTCGTTCTGATCTGAGGGGGGAGGAAAAGGGGGTCACCAGCCCTTACCCATGCACGCAGGAGGGCAGGCACTCCTGTGCAAGCTACGTCCCCTCTGAGCCCCCGCAGCACGGAGCCAGGTGAAGCCAGGCCACCCCAAGGGAACAGGCAGCTTGGCAGGTCTGCTGAGGATACCCAGGCAGGGGCTGCGGAGACTGCAGGAGCCAAGGAGCCGGCTCGGCTGCTGGAGATCTGGGATGCACAGGGCAGCCAGAATCTATAACTGCATTCATCAACTTCACCCTCACCCCTCCCGGAGGAGCAGCACGCCTGTCTACCCCAGTGTCCTCTTGCCCACCATCTTCCACACCTCAAGGGAGGCTGCTCGTGGAAGCTGGCCAATTGCCCCAAGTGCTATGTGGGGGGGGTGCGGTATGTCACGGATGGGCTTAGAACTGCTCATCCTCCTGCAGCCAGGTTACAGGGGCCCTACAAGGTGCAGGGAGCATGTGTGCAGGGCAGACAGGACTGAGGACAGCCCCAGCCTCAAGCGGGCCTGGAGAATGAGCACGGGTCTGCGCAGAGTCTGGTCCAGCCCCACAGGTGGACTCTTACCTAGGCAGTAATGCTGCTGTGGGTCTTTGGTGAAACCCTGGGGACACTGGTCTCCATTCGCCCCTGGAAGACAAATAGAGGAGCTGCGGGACGCCCTGTCAGCACCTCAGTGAAGCAGGGCTCATGGGCTGCAACTACCCCAGCAGTGTCACCCCACTCCCATGCAGGCCAGCTTCCATCTCAGAGACACCCCTTGTACCCCACAGGCCCCCGGGCAGATCAGAGAAGCTCAAGGGAAATGAGGCTCCATTCCCCTCGCACTGGTAGGGGACAGGGTCGAACTCTGCTGTGCTGGTACCTGCATGGAGGGAGGTGCCGAGCTGGAAGCGGAGCTCCTCGGAGGCTGGGTCAAAGGAGGCCTCCACAGACCGGGCCCGGACATGTTGCACTAGGGTGGGCTGGAAGCCCAGCGTGGGGTCGTACTCAATGGTGTGGTTGCAGCGGGCACGCACCCTGCGCCCATCCTGCAGGAAGCTCTGCACAGAGCCCGCATGCAGCTGCCCGGCCCCCGTCTGCACGTAGTGCTCACTGAAAGCCTGGAAGCCGAGAAGGCAAAACAGGGCAGGTCAGGGACTGAACCCACTGAGGCTGTGGCAGGCTCTGCCTGGGAGATGGGTCCCATGAGCTGGCACTGCAAAGAGGACCTGGGGAATGCCCCGCTCAAGGGAGCCGGCGCCAGAGCAGAGCAGCAGCGGGGCTGCCAGTCCCCACCAGGACCCAATACCGACCTGCAGCAGCACGGCTGCCCTAGCGATGCTCTCAGGCACAAACCCATTGACCACAACATCGAGCAGCAGCTCCCTGCCTGCCTCCAGGCCCCGGGCGATGTGCGTGATGCGCAGGAGTTCCCCTGCAGCGAAAGGTGGCAGCAATGAGGGCTCAACCCAGCCCCAGGCTTTGCTTGTGCAGCAGACATAGGGCTGAGCACCGCAGGCTGCCAAGTGCCCAGGGGGCCAGCAGCAATCTCAGGGCTTGATCCCACACACTCAAACACAGGCTAGGGAATTGCCCCTCAAGATATGAATGCCCTCATGCCACCTAGCACTACACAGGGCACAGCTCCCCCAGCACCGGGGCTGCACAATGTGCTGGACACCAGCATCCTTAGTCAAGTAAAACCAAATGCAGCCACTTTGCCTGGCTGGGACCCACATCAATGGCTCCTTGAGGGTCCAGCAAACCCAGCACCCTGCATAGAAGTCAATGGGAAGTGTCAGCTGACAGGACCAAACTCCCCATGTCACAGGGTTTTGATGCCAAGCCAATGCCCCGAATGAGACACGGGTCACTCAGGACGGGAGGCAGCCAAAGCCCGCAGGGGACTCCTCATGCACTGTGGTGGGGAGGGCTAGCACACAACAGCCCCAGGGCCCAGGGATGCTGCTGTGGCGCCTGGCTGTGCTGTGACCATTTGACAACCACCACCAGTTCCTGAGCTGCCCCCAGCCATACCCTGCTTGGCAAGGCACTGGCTATAGCACTGGACCAGGATGCAGGGGACAGAGCTCTGCCCCTATCCTGCCTTGGGCAGGGCACTGCACCCCTCTATGCTGGGACATGGGGCTGAGGACAGTGACCTCCAGCAGAAAATGGGAGATGAGATGGAAAGCACGAGGCTTTGACTGCTGTGATCTGAGCTCCCTGGCTGAGACAGAAGCAGTACAGGGATCCCTGGCCTGAGCTGGCAATGCCTAGTTGTACGGTAGGGATGGCTGGGAGAACAGCCCTGGTGAACAGCTTGACCGGTGTTACCCAGCCTCAAGGCAGCCTCTTTACCAGTAAAGCACCCCTGGGGACTGCTACTTCCCTCCCTGGGGTCTCATTCAAGGTACCTCAAGGATGTTCCCCTTTACCTGTAGCAAATTCCATCTGCGACTCCTGCTTGAAGATGCCTCTGGTCAGTGCGAAGCCATTCACTGTGCTGCCACTCTGATGCGCAAAGGACCAGTAGATGGGAGCGATGACAGCGACCAAGACCCTCATCAGTGGCCCTGGGGGTAAGGCAGGGAGAGTCAGGTCTGGGGCAGTTGCAGGCTGCTAACCCAGGGCTGGAGGGATAGTAGCAGGGTCTGCTTCTTAGAGATGCAAATTCGCACAGCACCTGTCCTGAGGCAAGAGGCCTCTCTGCACTGGGCCCTTCCCCTTCCCCCTGCCCCGGTCAGTCAGAGCCCAGAGCCTTTCCCTGCGCCTCGACTGGAAAGAGCTTCCTCCTTCCCTGCTCCTGAGAAAGGCCCCACTGGGGCACTTTACCAACAAATGCCTGGGTGCATAATCCATATTCAGCTAACAAAGGTCCTACGCACTTAACCAGCATGCAAAGAGTGAAAGGCTGTTTCAACTTGAGACAAAACCTGGGCCTACTGTCGTGTTATGCAGCTAGGCAAATTATGCACACTTCCTTGCAGAATTATTTCCTTGCATAATTAGAGCGCCAGCTGGTTTCTAAGATGCTGCCCTGCCCGGCCTTCAGACTAACAGGGCTACCCACCCCCTTCAACACATATAAGTGGAGTACCCTGTGCTGTCAATGCACTGCTCAGCGGGCACATCTGCCTGCGGTTGACAATTATGTTGAATTGCTGGCCATTCAATTTGCATGTAGGAAACACCAGAGGGTACCTTCTGCCCATGCATACCATACCCTTGGTGACATTGTCCCCACGTACCAACCGCTGGCGGGATATTCCGGATGCTGCTGCGTACGGTGGTGATGCCCGAGCGGAGCTCCTCTGTCACACTGCTGTTCAGAGAGGCGATGCCAAATTCCTTGTTGTTAATGATGCCGATCAGACTGCCCCGGACCTGGAGGGGCTCTCCTGCAGGGGAGGGATGGGGAATGAGTCACAAGACTGACACAGCCTCCTGGACACTGTAGGACATGAGCAGGTGGGACAAAGGGCTACCAAGTGGGCATGAAGCTGGGAGGGATGGATTCCTATCCCCATCCCCCACTGCTCCAGGGCCTCACAAGTTCCCATCCAGGGAAAACTCCCTTTCTAGAGGCATCAGGGACCTGGGTCTGCTCAGAAGCACCATGCATAGGATCAATTCAGGCTCACTGCACAGTGTGCCAAACCCTGGCCCAGACTTGCCACTGCTGAAACAGGGGGGAGTCATTTTTTTGGGTAGCTTCTTCACTCCGTGTCACTCCACCATTGCCCCACAAGTGGCCACACATGCATTCACATTTGCATGCATGCACCCAAGCACAACTACATGCATTCAAGCAGCAGGCAAAGCCACATGCCCAGGCTCACCCAGAGCCTCATTCATGCTGCAGGCAATCTGCTCTTCCTGCTGTGCACAAGCTCAGCTCTGGCCTGTGCTCCCGTGTTGTTGGTTCATCCTGCCAAGGGTCTGGCAGACTAGAAACCCAGTGCCAGAGCCCCTATTACTGCTAACTCAAGGAGACATGCTGGGCACTCCAGCGCACTTCCTCTGGTTAACAGCCTGCCTGGCAGCTGGCTCTGCAATCTGTTCGCAGAGGAAAAGCAGAAGAGGATGTGCCTTTGCCTGTGGAGGCATGAATCAGAGACTGGGAGATCTGGAAAACGTCAGTGGAAAAGTACAGCCTGTGGCAGGCTGCACCTTGAAGGCAGTTGCCATCTCTGGTACAAAGGTCTCGAAGAAAGTAAAAGAGCCCCTCAGCTCCACTCCATGGCCACTCATCCAGAAAAGGAGAAGACTAATGGGAGAGGCAATGGCAGATAAAATATCAGCCTCACCTCCCAGAGCCAGTCCACACCCCCGGGCAAGAGGAGCCTTTGGAGCAGTTTCACAGGGAAATAGGTCTCAGTCAGCACGGGCTAGCTCAGCATTGCAGGTGCTACAATAGGGGCAGCTGAGCAAAGCAGAGGCTGATAGGAGCAAGCAGGACGTCTGCTGTCACACCAGACAGGGGACCTAGGCAAAAGGCAGGTGCCACAGCAGCTCCGCTCAGCCGTGTGCCTCAGGCACACCCCGATGGGGTGGTGGAAGCAGGACTTAGCACCACATAGGCAGGGGAGGAGGGAGCAATCAGGCAGGCGGTGCAGCCATGTCTTTGCAAGGGAAGGTGGGAAATTCCCAGACTCGAATGCATTCAGCAGCAGCCACTGCTGCGTTCAGGCAACCAGCCTCCATGGACCGCGGCTGTGGTTTAAGAAACAGTGAATTCACACAACAGATGCAGGTCTGGGTCACTGGCCACCACGGGCCACAGATCTGTTCAGCCACAGAGGGCAGGAGGACCGCCACCTTAGCCAGCACTGCAAGCGCAGGCCCTGGGGCACGTACCTTGCACAGTTAGGACAGCCTGGGCGATGGAGGTTCCCAGGAGGTTGCGAGCAACACACTCGTACTGCCCCGCATCAGCCTCCTCCACGGCACTGAGCAGCAGCGTGGAGTTGGGCAGGACCTGGACGCGGTGGTTCTCCAGCAAGGGCTCCCCATCCCGGGTCCACTCCACCATAGGGGTTGGCTCCCCCGCCGCCTGGCAGTGCAGCAGCACCCTCTCGCCCACGCTCGCCACCGCATCCTGGGGTTCGGCACTGAACACGGGGAGGCCTAGAGCAGAAGACACCAGGTCACAGCAGCCCCCAGCAGGTGGCAATGACCACATGCTCCCAGTGGGGGTGAGGCCACAATGGCACTTCTGTGATTCAGCTGCAGACAGCCCCAAAATGCAGGGTTATCTGGACTGGGGGGGTTGGGCAGATCCACCCCTAATCCATTTTTGGGAGCTTTTCATTAGACACCGGGGTCCCCCCCAGGCAGACCCGGACACAGGCATGGGCAAACTGGGTGGCTATCCAGGGCCTGGACAGAAAGGGGGCCTGAAAATTTTTTAAAAATTACAGTTGCAAAAAAAAGTTTTATTATTGTGCATATACAGGACTGGCAATGTTATCAATTGAGAACAAACTAAAGGCATCGATACCACAGATGTAATAAGGACTTTTGCAACAAAAACATCATTATCTCTGGCAAAGTGGGGCCCCAATACTAAAAGTTTGCCTGGGGCCACCAGGACTCTAGGTACGGCACTGCCCCCAGGATCTAACTTTGATTCACCCGGAGCTCATACCTATTCCCAATGGATGTTTGATCCTGGTGGCCAGGGGGATTTCAAAGATGCTGCCCTTCTCCCCAGCTGATGGCTGTGGAGCAGCACAACATCACTGGCCCTTTTCCTTGCTGACAACAAGCTGACCATTTCCCCCACAAAGAGACACTGCCCACATGAGGCTGGCTCGATACATGCTGGGTGGGAAAGCATTTAGCATGAGAGTAAAATCCCAGCCCTGCCCCAGGAGAGGCAAAGCAGGCAGGCACTCACTCTGCAGGGCGAGGGTAACCACCTTCTCCACGGCGCCCACTTCGTTCTCCGCCACGCATGTGTAGTGCCCCGCATCATCGCTCTGGGGTGGGCAAGCAGGGGAAAAGCAAGTGCATTAATATAGCTGTCTACACCCTGCCCAAAACAGGCCGTACCGGTGACTCCCCACCTTTTTAGATACACAACAGTGACCAGCGTGGTCCTGACATACAACACTCCTTCCAGCCAAGATGGAGCATATCTAGGTGGGATCTAGAGAGTTTAGATTATGGATGGTACGGGATGGTTTGGATAGAGATGCTCCTGCCGCAGACAGGGAGCTGGACTAGATGTGACCTCTGAAGGGTCCCTCCAGCCTGACATCTCTATTATTCTCTATGATTTGATGAGCTGTGGTTTCCCTCCAGGCTGTCCCTTGAGTTAGAAAAGCAATGTGCCATCTTTATCTTTGCCACAAGCCCCTTGGCATAGAGAAGGGGGATGCTCCAAGCAGGGATACAGGGTCATGAATTCCTTTCACCTCTATCAGGACACCCAGCAGCAAAGGGAACATCAGCCCCTAGGAAACAGAGGTCCGAACCCCTGCTGAAGGAATCAGTGACAGCCAGGAGGTAAGAGACTCAGTCGCATGTTAATTCGTGGGTGCAGAGAGCTGAGACTCCTGCCTGCCTTCCTGGCCAACTGAGATCTCTGCAGCTCAGGCTAAGCCTGCTTGCTGCAATCGTATGGTCTCCTCAGCTATGTAGGATGATGCGGGATTGCTCTGATGCTGTCTCCAGGCAAGTCCAACCACCGGGGCAGAGGGAAGGATCTTACTATCCCCCTTCTCTCGCAGATCCCCATCCTCCTGCCCAAGCTCTTATCTCCATCACCAAAGCGCTGAGCCTGGGCTGCCACTCACCACCGTCCCAGAGATGGCCAGGGAGCCGTTCTGGAGCTGCCGCAGGTGATGGCTGCCCTGCACGGGGATCCCGTTCTTGTCCCAGTGGATGACAGGGGCAGGGTCGCCATAGGCTTCGCAGTCCAGGAGGGCGTTGGCCCCCAGGGGCTCCACCTGGTAGGCACTGACCTCCCCTTGCAGGACAGGAGCCTCTGGGGAAGGAGAAGGGGTTAGAGGCTACCAGTTTGTCCAGGCTACAAGCAGGGCTGTGATGAGCATGGCCAGCCAGAGCCGAGGGTGGCTGCAAGGAAACCAAGAGCACCAAAGGTCCAGGAGCAAAGCTCCTTATCTGAGTGCCCAAGGCCTGGCACAGCTTGGGCTGCACCTTCCCACCTACCAGGACCTGCACTAAAAGGAAGGCAAACTGGGATGACCCACGTCCCGCCTGCCACACAGGCCTAGCCAGAGGCCTGCCTGGCACCGCCTGCTTGCTCCTGGGATGGCTGAGGGACACTTCTCCCTGCCTGAAGCACCTTTCACGTAGACAAAACCGATGGCCTTGATGCTGCCAGCGCTGTTCTCGGCAGTGCAGATGTAGGTGCCACTGTCCTCCTTGGTGACACTGTCTCTCTGCAAGGTGCTCCGGCCACTCCGCTCTGAGATGCCACCTGCCAAGGCAAAGCCACACAGCTGGGCTTAGGAAGGTGCTCATGGAGCTGGGCCACCTGCCGTCACACCCATCTCGGCCACTGGGCCCCGAGAGGTAATGAAGGGGGAGCAGGAGCCCCAGCTGACACCCCAAGTCCTGCCCTCCCTTCTGCTGTCCAGGGAGGCAGGCCAGGATCCCGCCTTCGTCATGCTGGACCCCGCCATGTCACAGCAGCGCTGCCAGATTAAAGGATTCCCTGCGTCTTCCAGAGCGTTTCCTAGTGGCAGCTCTGTGCAGCCGAGTGGGACATAGCAGGTCTGCCCCAGCCCTCCCCCAGGGTCCTGCCCCCGGACTAAGCAAACCACTGACATCCCAGTGACACGGGGAAACTGAGGCACGGAGAAGTGTCATGCACCCAAGAATCAGTGTCACCACCAGGGACAGAACCCAGGAGTCCTTCCCCCAGCCCTGCAGGGCAGCACAGAGCCAGGCACAGCCATCTTAATCTCACAGCTCAGAGAATCATAGAAAATTAGGGTTGGAAGGGACTGCAGGAGTTCACCTCTAGTCCAACCCCCTGCTCAAAGCAGGACCAGCCCCAACTACATCATCCCAGCCAGGGCTTTGTCTAGCCAGGTCAAAAACCTCCAAGGATGGCGAATCCACCACCTCATCTGCTCTCCTCTCCCCCTGCACTCATCCTCTGGCTTCTTCCATGCCCTGGCTTCCCTGCCCCAGCCCGTCTATGCCCCTGTGCCCCCCACGCACTCGTGACAGGCTGGTTGTACATGGTCCAGGTGATGCGGGGCATCGGGTTCCCCTTAGCGCCACAGACAAGCTCCAGTCCCTCGCCCGTGCTCAGTGACAGGTCCCCCGGCAGCTCGGTGAAGGCGGGGGGCACGAGGACAGTCAGGCGGAGCTGGCGGGCAGCTCTCCCGGCTGCGTTTTCTGCAGTGCAGGTGTATGTCCCGGCATCCCCGGCCTGTGGGGTGAAAAGGTCCAAGGAGCAAATGAGGGGGCAGCCTGTGGGTAGACTCTGTGCCCCACAGGCTGATGGCCTGGAGGGGACAGCTCTCCTGCCAGTTGCTACCCCTATGTCAGGGGGCACAACAGAGCCATGCCCTGCTGAGCTGCCCCTCTCTTGGCTGTTGGGTAGAGATGGATGAGCTCAGTGCTTGGTATCAAAGATTTAAGGTCCCCTGGGTAGGCCCTGCTCTGTGAATGCCCCAATACATCCCTCCGGCCCCGACCTGCCCCGCAGGGTGCCCACGAGGGCTTAGCTAATCCTGAATCCATCAGCTGCTGCTCCTACAAGCTGCCAGTGCTAAGCAACCCCAGGCTCTCTCCTCTGCCACCTGCGGTTCTCCCAGGCTCAGCCAGTGCATAAGGGTCAGCAAGGCCCCATCTCCAGCCATTAGCTCTCACCACCCACCGCAGCTCAGAGCCCCGCAGACAGATGCACACCAGGGATGTAAAGCAGATCAAGCCCCGGTCGCACGACATCGGAGGCTCACCTGGGCATCCTTGACGATCAACTCCCCCGACTGCAGGAAGGTGAACTTCCCATTGTCCCCTCGCACCACGGCCCCGTCTTTTGACCAGGTGATCCTGGGCTCGGGGATCCCCCGCGCGGCACAGGGCAGGAGGACTTGCAAGCCTTCAGGGACAGACAGCTCCGCTGGGCCAGCCTCAACCACTGGGGGCACTAGGGTGGGAAAGAAGGAGCCAGACCTCGGTTGGTCACAGGTCCACCCCCCCACCCCCTCCACCCACAACACTGACCTTCCCAGCTTGGTTATGGGGGCTCAGCTAGGGGCAGCAGAAACAAACCACGAGCCTGACATGACCCAGACCCCTCTGACTGAGCGAGAAGGCAGGAGCTGCCAACTGCCCCCATGGTAAAATGCAGGTGCTGATCCCTGCTCCATTGCAGCTCTGCCGCACTGCCGGCTGCCTCTTGACCTCTCCAGCATCCTCCCCCACAGTCCCAGCACTGCCATGGCTCCAATACCCATCTGCCCTGCCCTGAACACTGGCAACTGCAGCATCTGGAGGAGATTTGGGCTTGCACCAAAATGTCAGGCCCAAACCCTTTCTGACTTGGCACCTGGATGCCAGCTCTAGATTGCCGGTGCGGACCTTCCTACAACCAAACCCAGAACTGAACAGCCTGGAGGTAAAAGTTTGGGACCAGATCCCAAACTTGGCAGCTGGCATCATTTTGTCCCGAAGCCCAGCAGCCAGGTGGACAGCAGCACCGGGCCAGTCTGCCAGCTCCTCTGCACACCTCCAACCACATGTGTTTCTCTGTGCAGCATTTGTAGGGGAAGACAGCCACGACCAAGTTCTCAGACTTGGGAAGCAGCAGCTTGGCAAGGTAGCGGCCACAACCCCTGCCCCTCCCTTCAGCTTGGGAGTATTGTGCCCTGGATGCCCTAAGGAGAGCGATGGGCTTAGCTTGCTGTTGGCTCCTAGAGTCACCAGTTGGATTGCTCCCCTACCTTGCACGATCAGCCGGGTCTTCCCCAGTGCTGTGCCCGAGGGGTTCTGTGCCATGCACAGGTAATTCCCAGCATCCTCCACAGTGGCACGTAGCAAATGGAGGTGCCCATTGGGGAGCACCCTGAAACCAGCTCCTGCTGGGAGGAAACAAAAGGGCTCAGAGGCAGAAAGAAATCAAAAGCAAAGGCAGAAAAGTCAAACCACTGCTGCCCAAGAGCTTTACCCACTGGCAAAGGGGCTGCAGGCCAGGGCTACTTCACCCAGGGGTGAAATGCAGTCTCTTCTGGGAAGGCTACCTCCCCCAGAAACTGCCTCCCCCAGAAACTGCCTCTCCCAGAAACTGCTTTCACAGCAGTTAGCGCGGGGGAGGCAGGACGTCACAACTCAAGGTGGATTATGGCCACAATGCCAGGGTTAAAAGCACCTTCACTCTTTCAATGTGTGGCCAAGGGAGATTTCATGACCGTGCACCACTGTGAGTGTCAGCAGCCTTAAATGAGGGTGTCACAGCAAGAGACCAGGCCACAAAGGGGTCATCCCGGAGACAGGAGTCACCCAGGACCAGGACAAGCTGAGGGGCTTTGGAAAGGCTGCAGGGAGTTTATATCACTCAATTTGCTGCCACACCCATCAGTGCCCTTAGCATGTGCGCTGATCTCTGGGAGCATGCTTAGTCCCTCCCGGGGCGTTGCAGCATTGGGCAGCTACAGCAAAGCCCTCCCAAGGCCCTAGCTCACCTGCAGGGATGTTGATCCCTTCCTTCTGCCACGTGATCACTGGGCGAGGCAGCCCGGATGCCTCGCAGGGCAAGACCACACCAGAATTGAGCACCACCTGCATCAGGCGGGGCAGGGGCTTTACCACTGGGGGCTCTGCAACCAAAAGAGACACTTGCAGCCAGTTCCTTCTCCCCTTGGCTATGGCAAGACACCAGGGGCATCACCCGCATAGAGCATGGCCTGGCTCCTGCCACGGCTTCCACAGCCCCACTGGGCAGTTCCCCGGCTACTGCTAAAGAACAAGCCAGCTTATACTCCTGCCCTGAAGTCACCCCGGAAGATGGGGTGCTCTACTGCAGGCCAGGAGCCAGGGCTCCTCCATCATCCATGTCTCTCTGGGGTGGTGCCCTCCCCCTCCTCCCCCAGCCCACCATGCCCCTAGGTACCTTGCACCGCAAGCAGGAGGTGCTTGTGTGCCATGCCAGCAGCATTTCTTGCCGTGCAGGTATAGCGCCCAGCATGAACGGGCATTGCCTGGTTGATCTCCAAAGCCCCTGGGAACACAGGAACAGCCGGTCACCAAAGGGGCAGCAGGGGACAGAGTGACTGGCTCCTTAGGTAGGGACCATGCTGCCCTCCCTCTCCACAGGCACATGCATGTGCCCAGGCATCCACGTTACCCGTGGGCAAGATGCGGTAGCTGCTGCCTCGGTTTCCCAGCTGGGCCCCATCTTTGCTCCAGGACACAGCCGGTGCCGGCACCCCAGTGGTGTAGCAGGTCAGAATGGCCGGGGACATCTTGATGGCCGTGAAGTCTGTCCGGTCATCGGCGATCGTGGGAGGGACTGAAAGCGACAGGTGCAGGCCAAGCTGAGCACGGATGTGCCATGAAAAGCAACATGGGACCGGCCCCCTCTGCACTGATTTGCATCCCCCAGGCAGGCGTCCTGGATTACACAGCGCCTCCATTATGCCCTGATGTCACTGTCAAGGTTGGGGCTTCAGGGAGAGGAGGGGCTGGAGCATGATCCCAGGGTGATGGGAGGGATGGGAAAGCCCCCCAGGGAGGCTGACTGCCAGAGCTGACCCTGGGGGGTGCAGGGCCTGGTCCAAATCAGCCTGTGTGGGGCCCCCTTAACACTGCACAGGGCTGTGGTACCCCTGTGAAAGCGGAGCTGAGCTGAGCCACCAGCTCCTGGCAGGCCCCATGGGAAGGGCTGTGGCCACTCCACACGGCTCCATGGGCCCCCCCCAAAGCGCAGGGCCCGGGGCAATCGCCCCGATTCACCGTACCCTAGGGATGGCCCTGCCGAATGCGTTCCCCAGAGCTACTCACCCTGCACAGAGATGCTGAAGAGCCTGCGATCCTCTCCCACCAGGTTCGTCACGACACACTCAAACTGCGCCGTGTCCCGGAGGCTGGGGCTGGTGATCAGCAGAGACCCCGAGGACAGCAACCTGGGACAGATGGCGGGAGAGGAGGGGGAGTCACTGGCAGAGCTCGACCCTGAACTGCAGAGATTGGCCTGGGGCTTGACCTGCCCCAAATACAAAGCCAACAGAGCTAGGGACCTGCTCTGCGGTGCAAGGGAGCCAGGCTATGATGGCAGAAGGATGACATCAGGTGCACAAAATAGCGGCAGAACCACCATGGGGAGTAGACTGCCTTTGCAAAGGAAATGAACACAGCACCAGGCTTTCCCCGCCTGCCCCCATCTACCCAGCCCATGGCCGGGGCAGCCCGGTACCTGTAGGGGCTCTGAGGAAGGTTCAAGTTCAAAGGCTGGCCATTCCTCCTCCAGGTCACTTGGGGCTCGGGGAATCCAGTAGCTTCACAGGCAAGGGAGGCTTGGCGGTGAGCTGTGAGCGTGAGGTTGGAGGGCCCCGGAGCAATGGCAGGAGGGACTGCAGGGAAGCAGAGACGGGTGCCATAGATTCAGCCACCCAGCGCAGGCCACGGGATTGACGGGACGGGAGTTTGAGGGAACATCTCTCAAAAAATGGGAGCGAACTCAGGCCAGCCCAGCCCAGCCCAGCAGCACACAGAGTAGGGGCAATGTAACCCACTGTGAGCAAATGTGAGGGAAGCCAGGAGGTACGGGAACAAGAGTAGCTGTTCCCCAGAGCAGGATGCAACTGATGTCAGTGCGCCTGGCTGCATTTGAACCCAGCAGGCTGGGCCGTGGGGGTCATGCTGTGTTCCCCAGCCCTCCACTTACCCAAGACTTTGAAGTCCAGGCCCCGTCGGTCGGACCCAGAAGGGCTGGACGCTACACAGAGATAATAACCCGAGTCCCAGGCTTGAACTGGGTCTATTCTTAGGGAGCCATCTGGCAGGATTTCCAACCTGAGAAGAGGGAGGGAGAGCCCCGTCAGGGCACCGGGCGACTGAATGCTTCACTGACCGACCGCGGCAGATTTAAACCCGAGAAGAGGGGCAAGGAAGGCACTTGGCCCTGAAGCAGACACTGTAATGTGGGTCTCCTTTGGAGCTCTCTGCCTCACAGAGATGAGTCGGAGCCCAGGAGCCAGGGGCTGCTCACAACACAGCCACGGACCGTGGGGGATGCCCCTCAGCACCCCTCGCTGGGAAACAGGGGTGAGGCTAGGCTCCATCCCCAACCATTTACAAGGGGCCTGGCAACTCAAACAGCTGAACTGCAAGGCAGCTGCTGTGTTACAAAGCAGAGGGCAAGTGGCTGCCTTCACGCAGCAGGTTCAAATGGGGGCAGTAGTTCTCGCACCTCGGGTTGCCATCCGGGGGCAGGAGCAGGCCGTCCTTCCTCCACGTGACCTGGGGCCGGGGCCACCCCTCCGCCTGGCAGGGCAGCACAGCTGACCGGTTGTCAGACACATTGACCGTCAAAGGACCTGGCTTTATCACAGGGGGGACTGCAACATCATCGCGGGGTAGGACAGAAAGGAAGAGCAAGAGGAGTTAGCACAAGGTGATGAGGTGGGCTCTCACGATGATGCCCAAGAGCAGGCCCTGGGCACCCTCTTTCCAGGGTGAGCATCGAGTGCATGTGTGTTCCCACTAGCTGGGTGCAACTTCCAGCATGGAGGGAAGGAAGAAGTGTGGATCCATAAAACAAAATGGGGAATATCTGAGGCACTGAACTCGACCCCTCCAGCCACCTTGGCAAGCTCTCGTAGCTGTACCCTAACCTGCCCAGCCCTACCACCCACTTGCCCCTTGGGGTTCCCACTCATAAACACAACCCCATAACATGGAGCATCCCACTGAGCTCAGAGAGGGGCACCACATAGTCTGAGGCTACGTCAGTACTGCCAACCCCCTGCACGTTAAGGAGATGCCAAGCCCAGCACTCACGCTCGCAGCCTGGAAAGGCAGCCCAGTTCCCTTGGCTCCTGTGAGCAGCAGTGACTGTCACCAGCTGTGAGCTGGAGCCCAGGCACTGCCGGTGCTCTGCTCACCGTGGATCTCCACCTGGAAGCGCAGGCTGGTTGTCCCCAGATGGTTGCTCGCGGTGCAGCTATATTCGCCCCCATCGGGCACTGCCACGGCCTCAATCTGGAGGAAGCGCCCTTCGGCCAGGAACTGCATGCGGGCATCCTCCTAGCAGCACCCAGAGATGCTCCATCAGTAGCACGCCAAGGGCTCTCGTTGGAATGGCTGCGATTACCCAGCCAGACGCTACCCACTGATGCTGGATGGGGACTGGGATGTCCTGGACATGTTGCCAAGACCCCAGCACCTTGCTCCAGGCCCCTCGATGCACAGAGCCCAATGTGGTCCATGCAACAGCAGGCTGACCTCCGCCACAGCCACGCACCTGGAGCAGGGATCCTTCTCGGTGCCACTCGATATGGGGAGGAGGGCTGGCATCTGCAGGGCATTCCAGGATGAGCTGCCCATTAGCCAGAGCTGTCAGGGAGCGCATCTCGCCCACAAAGGGAGGTGGTGCTGCTGGAACAGGCCAAGGGGTCAAGACTGGGCTGAAAGCAAATCCTGTCCAGGAGGAACTTGGAGCACCAGGAAGCAGGTGCCCCCCATGGCCTGGGCATCCCCGTATGTCAGCCAGGAAGTGCCACAGCCCTCCACCACTGTTCTGGGCATGGGGCAGCCAGCAGGGTAAGCCAAACTGCCTGGTGCCACTAGACATGCATGGAGCTCTGCTGGGCATCCAAGCCCCTTCTGCCAGGGGTAAGAGGGCATTTGCAAGAGCAGCCTAGCTCCACGGCTGCCCCCTGCCACAGCTACGGGCCTGTACCCATTCTCAGTACCTTGGATCTTGACCCTGAAGCTCCTGCTGTCCTCGCCTGCGGGACTCACTGCTAGGCAGGTGTACAAGCCAGCATCATCCGCCTGAGAAAGGCCAGGAGAGAGGGGAAGCTAAGTTGAAAACCAAGGCAGGGAAGGAGGGAGATGCAAGGAAGAAGACGAGCAGCCCCAACCTGCACGCTGTCTACACGGAGGGCACTCCCGTTCCCAGGCACAAAGCCGGACCTCGCGAGGGGCTGACCATCTTTCTCCCAGGTGAGGCTGGGCATCGGGACCCCGGCCGCCGCGCATGGCAATTCTAATGGGTCGCCCACAGCGGCGGTCACTTCGGTGGGCTGGGCCAAATCCTGGATCCGCGGAGGCTCTGTAAGGCACACGAGGGCTGGTGACATGCCCAGTCCTCTGCAGAAGAGTCTGGGATGGCGGGCATCTGCCATGAGAAATGCCTCAGGGAAGAGTTGTGCCATCATGTTCATCCTTGTGGCTATCCCCAGCCACACCTGGCTCCCCCTCATGCCCGCACCGACCAGAGCAGCCTCTTCACCATCCCCTTCCTCCAGCCCATTCACCCAAATCAGCCATGCCAAGGGCCCTCAGCCCCACCCTCTCCCTGTTTCCCCGGGGAAAGCCAGAGCACGCACCCATGACAGAGAGGTGGAAGTGTCTACTGGCCTCGCCGACCTCGTTCACGGCAACGCACGAGTACACGCCTGAGTCCTCTGGCTGTACCGCCTCCAGGGACAGCTGTGTGCCCTGGCTGCTGGAGACCAGGTTGCTTTGCAAGCTCAAGGGCTCGCCATCCTTCAGCCAGGACAGGGTGGGGAATGGCGAGCCCCTGGCTTCGCAGGGGAAGGTCACTGCCGTGCCCTGGATTGCCGTCAGGTCCTCGTTGCTCTCCGAGGGCTCCAGGACTGGTGGAACTGGGGGGGACCAGAAGCAACCAAGGTCTGTTCCTGGGGATGGGGAAAGCTTTGCCCTGTGTCTGCACAAACATGGGATCTCCTCCCAGATGAGCTGCCTGCTGCCCACTACTGCCTTGTGTCTGCAGGCTGGAAAGTCCAGTAGGACGGGCCCAGCCACAGCAGACTGGTCTCTGGATCCGGGGCAGCGTCCAAGGGCTCTCTAGCTTATGCGGTGGATGGTCTGGCCAGGGGCCTGCATCTGAATGGCCTGCTTTTGGGCAGCACATTGCCCTGCACAGGGGACCGACAGTCCCCATATAACCACCAGCGCACCATCCCTGGCAGGCCACTGGCAGCCTGTCCTGGGTCTGCTCCTGCCACACACCCTCCCTCTCCTATGCCCTCTGAATAGGAGCAGACAGGGCCCTGCTGCTCCATCCAGCTTTCCTGTCATGGTGCAGCCAGAGAGAAGTCAGGCTGGAAGGGACCTTCATTGTCCAGGTGATGGCGGGTCCCCCACATGAAGCATTTCCCCTCCCTCAGCCAAGACCCCACCTTCCCTATCCTCTGATCTGCAGCCAACCTGCTCCTCCCTCCCCACATCTCTCTTCCACCTCCTGCCCTTTCTTCCATGCAACCCCTCTCTCCTCCACTTCCCCAGTCCCCCTCCACCCTCTTTCTGGCTGACAAACCACTCCCGTGTTGTTTTCCTCCATCTTGGCCCCTTCCCAGCTCTGCTCTCCCCAGTTGCAGGGTCAGGTCCCTTCATACCCTGTATCTGCAGGATGAAGCTCTGCTCGGCCACCCCCGCCGGGCTGGAGGCAACGCAGGTGTAGATTCCCCCATCCGAGACCTGCACCTGGGAGACCCTGTCCCCACACAGGGAGGCTGGGATCAATTCACAACACAGCCCCAGGCCTGGCAAAGCCACTCCCATGCAACACGGCAGGCAATGGCTTCTGCCAAGCACCACAACCCAGCTGGGCTTAGTGCTGGGTGCTCAGCACCTCTGCAGATTAGGCCCCTGGGAGTTTACAACTCCACCAACTCTGGAATAGGGCAGTGAGAGCCAGGCAGGCAACTGGCATGAAGCTAAGCTGGGGGAAAACTTCTTATAGAGACCCAAGAAGCTGAGCTATGCCTGCAGAAGGTGCCTTGGGCCTCTGCATTCTCACCTGAGGGCTCGCCCTGCGGACAGCAGGCTCACCCGGTGGGACAGCGGGAGGGGCAGGCCATCCTTCAGCCAGCTGATCTGCAAGGGAGGGGAGCCCCTGGCCGGGCACTCCATGGTAACCAGCCCCAGGGGGATGCTGCTCAGGACCGTGGAGTCATTGGTGCCTCTCTCGATGGAAGGGGGCACTGGGGGGAGGAAGGAGACATCTTTCATGTGGATACATGGACCTCCCCTCTCCAGCCCCTGAGCCCCCAGCTGGGAGGTAGCAGAGGGAACGAGGGTCCTGGGCAGGGGTGGGGGCTCCTGCCACAAAGCCAGAAGCTGGGATTTCATGGCCTGATGCACACACGTTCCTTCCCCCTACCAGCACCACGGGGATGCATCACTCACCCAGGACAGTCAGTGTGTGCAGTTTGGTGTCCTCGCCAGCACTGCTCTGAGCCAGGCAGGTGTATGCCCCTGAGTCAGAGGCCTGCAAGCCCTCCAGGAGCAGGGAGCTCCCATCAGGAGACAGCCTGTACACAGGCAGATGGGAGGCTCAGAGAGTTGGGGTATCCCCCCTGCCACACCCACACAAAGGCAGTCAACCTGGGCTTCTCTGCATCTAATGCACAAGCCCCCTAAAGCTAAAAGAGCCTCAGCAGCAGGCTTCAGCCTGGCTGGAGCTGGGCACTGGAGTGGCACATGCATCAGTGCCCAGACTGGCCCTACCTGCCCCATCACTGGGCCTACCACAGGCGAGGGGCATCATGCAGCTCCAGCGGTTTCCCATCCTTCAGCCACGTGATCTCTGGCTCTGGCTGTCCCTTCGCCTCACAGTCCAGTCTCACCCCTCGGCCCTCCGGGACGCTGTGCTCGCTGGGGACACCTGCCCCCAGGATTCTTGGTGCCACTACATGGAGCAAAGAATGTGACTGGAGAGGTGCAAACTTACCAGCTCTCTTTGCAACCCCCCGCATGCTGAGGAAGCCAAGACCACTGACCCCACACTGCCCTGATGCCTACGGAGCAACCCATGCATCTACTGACCCCACACTGCCCTGATGCCTACGGAGCCTCCCATGCATCTCCCCGGCCCTGCCAGACCAACCTTGCACGGACACAATGAAATCTTTGCGCGCCTCCGCATCCAGGCTCTGCGCCAGGCAGGTGTAACGGCCCTCGTGGAACAGCTGCAGGGAGCTGATCTGGAGCTGTCCCCCTCGGGACACCACACCCCACTCAGCGCTGCTCTCTGAAGGGGGAAGACGACCCCATCAGGCCTTGAACTCAAAGCACTGCCCCTGGGGAATAAATCGCCCAGTCCAGAAGCATCCAGAAGAGCCAGTAGGACTGAGGAAAACCCTAGCAAGGCCGGGGCAAACCCAAGCGGGGCCAGGTCTCTTGGTGCCTGCATTCATATTATACAGGGCATGTCTACACATGCATTTAAGCACACCTAAATTTAATGTGCATTAGCTTAATGCATATTAAGAGGCTTTAGGCAGGCTTCTACATGTGCAGGCATTAAAGTGCATTAACGTTGCGTGTGGACTGACTTGGGACTAAAATTACTCCCAAGTCAGTCCACATACACAGCATTAATGCACTTTAACACGTCTACACGTGTATTCATGTGCTTTAACTATTTGCACCTAAAGTCAATACCTGCATTTGTAGGTATCAAATTTAGGTGCAAATAGCCTATAGTCACCATTTCCAATAAGCATTAGCTTAGGTTAATGTGCATTAAAGCATCACATGTAGATGTGCCCACAGGGACTTTTATCTTTCTGAGACCCATGTCCTGCCACAGACCTCAGAGCACTTCACAGGAAGAACTCGCCCACTATGAGTCTGGAAACTACAACATCCCCAGTTTGGAAATGGGGAACTGAGGCATGGTGTGGTTCAAAGACTGGCTCAAGGTTAGAGCAGGAGCTGATGCCGGAGCTGGGAAGCACAGGTGCCACCCCCTGCCCTTGAGAAGACCTTGCTGCACGCACTGTGTTTAAGACCCATCCTTCCCACCATGCCCACCAGAGCAGAGGCACTGCTCCCATACCAAGCGGGGACCCGTCCTTCAGCCAGGTGATGGCCGGAGGGGGCATGCCGACTGCATTGCAGGTGAGGATGAGGAGGTTCCCTGCAGCACCATCAATGGTCTCCTGCTGTGGGTTCTTGATGCTTGGGGGAACTGGGAGCAAAACAGAAAGCCCAGGGAGTCGATACTGTGGGGGCTGCTGGTCACCAGGCACCGCTGCGGTGTGCCAGGCTCCCGTTCACACAGCACAAGCACTAACAGCTCACATACAGAAACACACATAGGGCCCCCTTGGCTGTACACCCCAAGCTGGGATAATTGCATGGGTGGGGAATCTGAGGCACAGCAGTGGAGGTGACTGGTCCAGTGCCACATACAGCAACAGAGCCAGGAATCCACCCATCAGTACAGAGCTTAGGTGGACAATGTCCAACGCTTTCCCTATCCTTCCCCTTGCTGACAAGCTCTGAGGACAAGTTAACTCCCTCTGCTTGGGCTGGAGGGACTAGACACAGGCCTGATGCACGATGCAGCTCCTGTCCTGTTGGCCACCCCAGATCTGCTGCTTGACCTCCATCCCAACCTGCCTGCCCTTTGTGGCCCCAGTGCCAGCTCTCAGCCAGGACGGGAGGGAGCAGGTCATTTCTGTTCACACCCTCTCTCTGAGGCCTTACCTTGGACGGCAAGCACAAAGGCCTGCTCTGCCTCTCCAGCCACGTTGGTGGCCTTGCAGCTGTAGAGCCCTTTATCCGACACCTGGGGGAGGAGGCAGTGGTTGGCATCTTGCACACGGAGCCCAACCGAGAGGAAAGGGCTCCCTATGCACGGCCCAGCCTTACCTGGGCATTCTCTATCTCCAGCCTTTGCCCCTTCTGCAGGGTCCGAGCACCATTCCCAAGGCCCAGCTGGTGCCTGTTCTTGTACCAGGTGACCACAGGCTCCGGCTGAGCATCCGTCTCGCATTGCAGAACTGCAGTCTCTCCAACACGCACCACCACGACATCCTGCAGGCCTTCGGGGGGCTGCCTGATGGTGGGAGGCACTTGGAAAGGGACACACAGACAAGAGGAGCTGGTACTGCTGGCAAGTGAGGAACGATGTTTCCTACAGAAGGAATCAGCCTTTCCATGGGGTCAGTCAGAGCTCCCTGGGAGTTATCCACACCCACAGAAAATGCAGATACCAAACCCTCCATGGAAACACACGTGTCCATGAATAAAACCTTCTCCGTCACCTGCATGAGCTCTTCCAGTGTATAAAGCATGCAAACAAAAGCCATGGTGGGAGGAGAAACACAGAGCCAGTTTCCAGAAGGCTTCCAGGTGCATCCACCCATGTGCAAGTTGTGCACTTATCCCATTGCAGGCTGGTGCAAGCAGGGACACCAACACAGGCCCTGTGACATTCTTCTCCATAGGAATATGTCAAAGACACATGGAGCATCACTTGTAGAGCATAGTGCTGAAACAGGTATGCGAGCACTAAGGTCACCTCCCAAAGGACCCTGCTTCTACACTAGCAACTAGGTGTAGCTCTTTGTGTACAGCCTCAGTAATTAGAAAATACCCCATCAAGCTGATCCCATGACTTCCTATAGCTTTGATCTCCACCTTCCCAGAACCTGGAAACACCATTGGTACTGACTCATGAACAGAGACATTTCTCTCCCAGAGGAGCACCAACACCGAGACTGCTACTGGCCCACCCCACCTTGTACCATGAGCCGACGAGTCTCCAAGGAGGCAGGCTGGAGACTGAAGATCCATACCTGACACTGGGGACTCTGGTTTCTAAACTGTAGGTTTGGCTCTTCTGGTCTGACCAGAGACTGGAAAGCTAAGGAGAAGAGGTTGGCTGATGGTGCACCAGGCAGCCAGGATCCAGAAGCTGGGAACGCTTCGCTTACCATGAACGCTGAGAAGGAACAGCTTCTCGTCTCTGCCAGCAGCATTCAGTGCCACGCACGTGTACTCCCCCGCGCTGGTCACCTGGGCTCGGGGGATCTGTAGGATCTGAGAGCCTGGAAAAAGGGAAGGCTAGCAGAGAGGGGCTCATTGACTGCCTCTTCCTGTCACTAGGTCCTGAGGTTTGTGTTTGGCCACATCCACCCAGCAGCCCATTCTCCACGCAGCACTCGACTAGTAATAAAAATTTCCTTTATGATCCCAGTGCCTGATCCATTCAGCTGCTTGTTGCAGCACTCAAGGGGGGATCCCAGCGACAGAGCCCTTGCAGGCCAGAGCCCAGAGGCCGCCTACAAATAAGTGTCTAAGGAAGCGGCTGTACACTTATTCTTCTAAGCGTACAGTGATAGGAGAACCTCCTCCACTGCTGGTCGTTATAGGTCTCTCTCCACTTGGTGAGTTTGGGGCTGAGATGCTCAAAGGAGCCTTAGGGATTCAGACACTCCTTGGAAAATCCTGGCCTGAAGCTCTTCACATGCTGCATCAGATAGCAGGGCAGTTAAATATGTTAAGAAACGCAGCCTCCCCCTAAGCAGCAGCAGCCTGCCTGCCCTGCCCTGTTGGGAAGGGCTTTGCCTTACGAACCAGTCTGGGCTCTCACCTGCCCAGCTTTACACACCTGGGATGATGGAGACCTCCTTGCTGGGCAGCAGGGCATGACCGTCCTTGTACCAGGTGATCTCAGGGGCAGGATGCGACTGGACGTCACAAATGAGGGAGACGCTGCTATCGATGATAGTGCTGATGCTTTCTGGATTGGCTCCCGCTATCCTTGGTGGAACTGAGCCCCCCAAGACCAAAGGGAAAATGTAACAGAGTATTTAAAATGTCCCTCCCTGCATATCAAGGCAAGGATGAACCAATGGCTATAAACAACTTCACTGGGTGCGGCGAGAGATTTGATGGCTGCATGGATTAATTATTGGAGGACTGGTAGGGCTGACGGGTCCATGCTAACTACTCACCTTGAACCACGAGAGCAAAGAGCTTCTCTGCAGAGCCTGCCTGATTCTTTGCCACACACATGTAGTTGCCAGCGTCTTTCACCTGTGCCGCAGCCACCTGCCAAGGAAAAGCAGAGAGCCCCACTAAGTCAGCTTGCCGGACAATGCAGGATAGTCACCATGCTCGTGGTTGGAGCCTGAAGGAAGCCCAGACATGGGCCAACACACTCAACTGGGCTGTTGTCCACTATCCCTTACAATGGCAGCAAGCAACATCAGAGCAGTCCCTCCCTCTCACTTGTGAGAGAAGTGGTTTTGGTAGGGAAGGGAAGGGGCCTGGACTCCTCTCATGGTGGCTATTTTCTGGTACCACCCTCTCAGCATGCAGCTCACCTGAAGGAGCTGGCCGTCTTCCAGGATGTGGTGCCGTGGCCCAGCATGGAGGGCAAGGTTGTTCTGGAACCAGGACACGGTGGGTGATGGGTTCCCACTGGCCTCACACTTCAGGTGAGCTGTGCTGTTAGCAAGTGCTGTCACCTCTTCCACCAGCTCCTCTGTGGTCCCCTGGATAACGGGCGGAGCTGGGGCAGAGGGGACAAGCAGAACCAGTCAGTCGTGAAATGCTCCGCTCTCAGCCCCACCATCAGATCTTCCTCCCCATGGGAGGAAGGAGCTGTTAGTCTCAATCAAGTGCAGCCAGCGACATCCCTCCATGCCCACATACTCCCTTATTGCTCAGCCTTAACCCACCTCGCTCCTCACCATGAGCACACTGCAGATATGCCATCTCCCTTGGGTATTGGCAGTGACAGCAAGGCACCCCCTGCTCTATTGCAGAGCCAGGAGGAGATCCCAAGAGTCCTGACTCCCCACACCCTGCTCTTCGATTGTGTGACCGGCTTGTGTGTCCTCAGGTTCAGAGAGCGCAGTCACACGGAGGAAGCATCACGGGGTAGAGAGCACGTTTGTTCCATGCCTGTACCTGAGGCACTGAGGCTGGAGGTGCCCCCGGCATGGGACAGACAAACAATCTCCCCACGCCTGCCTCTCACTCCCCACCAGGCAGCAATCCCCAAGGCGTCAGCCAGTGGCTCCAGCCTCAGCTCCTCTGCCTCTTGCAGGGGGCTAAGCCCATGATCCAGGCCTGTGCTCCTAACACACACCTGAGAAAGTAACTGGAAATGGGCACAGGATTTTGTTGTCCAGTCGGAAAAGCGCTTGAATTCCCTTGAAGGGAATCCCTGCAAGAATCCCCATGAACTAAGCCAATGGGGACCTGCCGGGTCTGCTCCCTGTGATTACTTTGAGTCCATGCTTCTCACTCTTCCTCCCTGCACCCAGAAGCAATAATAACTACCTCTATGAAGTTGCCTGGCCTATGGACATCATCACCAGGTGCCACCCTGGTACTCACTCAGCACTGCCAGCTCGTAGTGCAAGCGGTCCTCGCCTGCCTCGTTGGCTGCCTCACATGTGTATCTCCCACCATCCTCTGCCCTGGCCACGGGGATCTGCAGGACGCGTCCACCTGCTGCACGACAGAGACAGGGTGGGCTTGGGGCAAGGGGCAGAGAGAGATGCTACACTGGCAGCCTTCTAGTGAGAGGGACGCTGCTCTGTGGGCTGGCATCCTTCGTGCACGGCCATGCCCTCTATGCCAGTGATGGTCCATGCTCCCTTGCACTGTCAGGCCATGCTAATACCTCCCCTGACAGCCAACAGCTCTGGGCATGAGACAGTGAACCACTACGCAAGCTACCTCCATCTATATGTGGCCTCCATATAGCACTCAAGCTATGAGCGCTATACAGTTTGCTCTAAACTATATAGCACTCGATACTATAATCAAGCAGATTGTCACAAGAGAGGAGAGGGCCATTTAAAAAGGCCACACGGCCGAGCAGGGAGATCACTGGAGTAATGGGGTCCCACATCTGTCGCTATTCTGTGCACAGCTCCTGCTGTGGTCATCCAGGTGGCTGAGGTTGTCAGAGTGGCAGCGTGCCCCTGAAGTACCAGAGGGCAGAGGTGTTTCATTCAGAGCATCCCCCAGCCCAGCAAGGGTCCTGGGTTGCTTGCACCTGGAGCATCCATTAAACCACAGCAGAGGCACATCATTGGGATGCACCTGGAACCTCTGTCCACACAGAGAAGTGGAGGGGAGAGCCACAGCCCACAGGATTCACACAGACAGCTGGAACACCTGGCACACCTGGATTCCTCATGGTACTTTCTCTACCTGGAAACCCCAGCAGTTGCCGAGCGGCTAAAAGAAGCTCTCACTGAAGTCATGTCAGCAAGACAAGCTCATTACCTAGCAGCATCATGGCCCCTTCCACAGTGGAGAGGGGCTCTCCATCCTTGGACCAGGTGAGCGTGGGGGGTGGGATGGCATTCGTGTCGCAGTAGAGGGAGGCTGGGGAGTTGACCACCACCTGCCGGTGCTCTGTCACCTCACCGTCCCAGTCTTCCTCCCGGTACTGGATCTCAAAGGCCGCGTTGGCATTGCCCTGCTTCTGGAACAGGGGGGGCACTGGGAAAGACACGGCCTCAGCCATCAGCGCCATGCTGGTGGAAGGACCTGGCAGAGCGCACAGGCAGCCGGAGCAGGACAAGATCCTGGGGCTGCACCTTCTGCAGCTGCACTGCTGGTGGCACAGCGCCCTGCCCAGCCCTCCAAAGCACCTGCCCACCCCGACCTGCAGCACCCCTGTGCTGGGGGTGCCCACAGAGGTGGGTGGGAGTTTGCCTTCCCCTGTAGCAGGAGGCTTGGCCCTCTACCTGGGACCACTTGAGTGTATATTCACAACCTTTTACAGAAGCAAGACATTGGCTGCTGTGGTCCCTCCCTGCTTTCCCTATAGCAGATTCAGGTGTCATGTCCAGGTTGATGGCAGACCCACAAAGAGGTTAAATTATGGATTTGTATAGGACGGTTTGGATAGGGCTGGTTCTGCCTCGGGCAGGGGGCCGGACTCGATGACCTCTGGAGGTCCCTTCCAGCCTGACATCTCTGTGATGGTATGCTCCCCAGGGATCCCCAACACAGACCAGAACATGAGCTCAAGCGAACACTGCCTGGACCCTACCTGTCCTTCCCGTGGAAGAGGGGCTCTCACTTGCCAGTGGTTGAAACGTTATAGCACCGCTGCTCGTTTCCCCACCCTCACCACTAGCTCCCTCTCCCTTTCTTCTCAGGGGCCAGCTCTCCCCCAAGATCTTGCTTCCTGCTTTGTTCAGCCAAGACAGCCTTGTTCTGTGAGGAGCGACCCACCTTGAACGTGCACAGCAAAGTCCTTGCTGTCTTCGCCTACCGGGTTGGTAGCAATGCAGGTGTAGCGCCCAGCATCAGAGACACCGGTGGAGCTGATCTGTATAATCTGCCCATCACTGAGAGTCTGGAGGTGTGAGTCCCTCCCCAGGAGCTGGTGAGGAGATGTCCCACCCCACAAGGAGGGAGAAGAGGAGAGTTAAAACACCCCTACAGCCTTGAGACAGCTGCTGAAAAAATGCAGCGTCCGGAAAGAAAATCCAGACCCCAAACCTTAAAACAGGCCCCTTTCCTTCCCAACTGGCTGCAAACTGCTCTTCTCTCCCTAGTTAGCCCTGGGCTCTCAGTCAAACCACATTATTTCATGCAGTTCAGGACACAGTTATGAATCTGAATTAAAATAAACTGCAGATCCAAGGATTATCCCTTCCCTGCAACCTTGGGTTTATTCATCCCTGTGTGCCCAGGCAGAGTTACGGCAACACAGAGCACCCAGCTGCTGAGCAGCTCCCTGCTCTGGGAAGGACCACCCGGCTGCATATCCCATGGCCCTTTGTCTTCTCTTTCCACCAAAAGCCTGATGGGATCAGGAGAGCTGCCTGGGATGCGCTGCAATAAGGCCCTTGTGGAGTCCTCTGCCCTGCAACACGAAGGGCCCAACGCAAAGCAGTTCCAGTGCTCCTGGCCTCGGGTCCCCTCCCGCTGTTTCTGGAAAGCGTCCACCCCTCCCCAGCAGTCCCATCTGCTCCTTCGCAGCCCCACCTGCCCATCCTTGTACCACTGTATGGTTGGCTTGGGCACAGCCCAGGTCTTGCACTCCAGTGTCACGGTGCTGTTGACCTTGGTCTTCACCTCCTCCACAGCGTATTCCCCCAAGTGGTCATCCTTGGCAATCCAAGGTGGAACTAGGAGCCACAAGACACGAGTATAATGAGGACAAGGAGGCAGTGGTCTCCTCCTTCCTGGGCATGCCCGCTACTCAGTGCCACCGCTTTGACAAGGATGCACAACAGCTGGCAGGTGCCATAGAAATCCCCAACTCGGGGCAAACAGGGCAGAGCAGACAACTCAAGGCTAAACATGCCCTGAGCAGTGCCAGTACTCTACCCTGCCAGTGCCATAGCAGGGAGCTCTTTACAACAGGCTGAGGTCTGAGGGTAGATGTAACCATAAGACTGTGGCGTGCAGGATGCTGGCTCTTCAGTGCGAGCAGGAGATCAGGGGGGCAGCCAGACATTGCTAGGGACTATAAAGGAGCACTCTCAGCATGTCCATAAAGCAAACGTGTGGCAGCAACAGCACTGCCCAGGGAAGGGGAGGGGGCATGCAGAAAGCTTACCCCAAGAACATCTAGAGCTTGCAACATGCAGGGACGCTGTCTCGGGCTAAAACATTACTCTAAAAAGAGCTGTGGGCCCTTCACACCCCCTGCATACATCTAAGGGCACCCCAGTTGGAGCTAAGCAGCGATCAAAGGAGAACGGGATGCCTCCCTAATGGTCTTTGGCAAAGCACTTGAGGATGGAGCTTGTTACGAACCGCGGACCCTCACTGCAAAGCTCTTCCTGGCCTCCCCAACCTCGTTGGTGACAACACAGGTGTATCTGCCCACGTCCTCTTCCAGGGCGTTCAAGATCTGGAGCCCGTGGCCACCTGGGCAGGGAATGAGAAAAGTCCCATGAAGATGCTGAGAGCAGCCCTCCGTCATCACTCTGAGAAACAAGGAGGTGAATCATCTGGACTAGCACTCCCAGGGCTACAGAACTGATCTTCCTCCACCTGGGTAGCAGCAGGGCGGCTTCCTCAGAAGACCCAGCCGACCTGCGCAGACCCATACGTGGTGGCACAGGGTCTAAGACCTCCACTTACCCCCACCCTAGAAATTCAGGTCATGCAATCAGATCCACACCCACGCCCGGGAAAGGCTCCGCGACTGATCCTCCACCCCTTGCATCACTCTGCCCAGGGTCCGGGCAACCGCTCACAAGGGGTCTGCACAATGTTAGCAAAATTACCAGAGAGAAACTGGACATTTGTGGAGGCTTGGAGAGGAGCCCCATCCTTCAGCCAGGTGATGGTAGGGGCAGGATAGGCCAGGGCCTCACAGATCAGGGATACAGGGTTATGGATGACTACGGTAACATCTTCAATGGTGTCCTCAAGGCTTGCCCCAGGAAAGGTGGGGCTAACTATGGAAAGAAAGAAGAGACCCCATGTCCTTTTTCTGAGACTGACGTGTCCCCCATCACAGCTGGAACGATCCAGTGCCTCCCACCACCCACCATGTCATGCAATGAGCTCAGCTCCTCAGAGCTGACTGCTGACCAGGCAGCATCTCATATACCCTGTGCACACTTGTCATCAGACAGGTAGTTTATAAAGCAATTCTGGAGGTAGCTCTAGTCTCCATGACACTAGTGGTCATGGAAACCCTAGCCAACAGCTATCAGATAAATACAGTCACTACAAGCCTAGCTGCATCTGGAACATAGGCAAGGTAATCACCCTGACTGTCCTCCCCACAGTGACTGTACTAGGAACTGCAAGTGCTCGGCACCTCCCTGGATTGGACCATAAAAGAGGCCCAAAGCAGTAGCAATATCTTGCAATCGACTTCTCTCCCCCTCTGAAAACGGCCACGGCCTTTCCAGCTCCCCGCCTACCTAGAACGCCGAGCAGATAGTGCTTGGTTTTATCACCCGCAGAGTTGGAGGCCACGCAGGTATAATAGCCAGCGCTGGCAAGTGGGGCTTGGTTTATCTGCAGCACCGATCCATCTGGTGAGATGTAGTAGGTTTCCCCAGGGAGCAAAGGGCGGGCATCTTTTAGCCAAGTGATCTTTGGCTTAGGATTGCCTGTAAGTCGAAAGGGAAAACTGGTCAAAAAGCACAACTCAGCCTCAGCACAAGATTTTCCTCTGTGTGCAGAGCACTTCTGGAGCTGGGCAGCCCCGTGCTCTGGAGCCTTTGGAGAAGGCAGAGGCTGGAACACAGCTCTGAAGCTTCCCATCAGGATCTCCAGGGGCACTTACGGAGGCAGCCTCAAGCACTGGGATGCAAGGGCTGCTGCACGAGCCATCCAGAGAAAGGAAAAATCAACAGAGGAACAAGGTCTACCACCAGCGGGCCCTCCCTCCATCCATCGCATCCTCCAGACCCAGGTCAGTAATAACTCCTCAGCTGCCCTGAACCACCGCAATGACACAGCTGGACAGAAGCTCATGGATGACTCGGAGGAAATGAGTGATACGGGTACACACATCACTAGCTGGTCGCTCGCTCTGCCCCAGCCATGAAGAACTGAGGTTGAATTGTATTATCTAGTCTCTACCTCTCAATTATCCTCCAAGGGCTCTGTAAATAAAACCACCTCTTGCTTTTTTCCAGCCCAGCACCACTCACCTGTAGCAATGCAGGACCAGTTGACAGACTGACCCTCGGGCACTTTAACGCTCTCCTCTTTGTCCTCGTTCTCAATGCTGGGAGGAACTAGAAAGACAAAGCAAGCATGGGAGGCAGGGTGGTTCTCTCGCCACAAGCCCAGCTGAACCAAGCAGAACAAGAGACTGCTTCCTAAAGAGTCGCCTTGGGCGTTAGAGAGCAGAGGACTCCGGGAATGCAGCACATAAATGGCCACATTGCAAAACCACAACTCTGTGTGTGGGATTTAGGGAAGGCGCAGAATCCCCATTTGTAGCCCTGTAGAAAAACTGAGGTTGAAAGGATGGAAAGAACAAGAAACAGATCCTAAAACCACGAACCAGGTTCCTGGGTTTGTCCTTACCTAGGACCTCCACACTGAAATCCTTCCTGGCTTCCCCAGCTGCATTGCTAGCCAGGCAGGAATAGAGACCGCCGTCTTGAGCTTGCGTGCGGGTCAGCCTCAAAGCCCAGCCACCTGGGAGTGAAAGGCAAAGAACATATAGGCAACATCAGGAGTGACCAAATCCCGATTCATCTGTCCTGCCCTAGCAATGTTCAGAGAGCACCTGGCGGGGATGTTCACTGAGCACCATGGCATCGGTACCCCCCACCGTCACATGAACCCATGGGAGGGGTCAACACAGACCAGCGTGCTCTCCTGCCCCCTGCCATGTTACAGCCAGGTAAGGGAGTGGGGAGCACCACTTCCTCTTCCTAACTGGATGGCAAATCTACCTGCACATGGCTGCTCTCAGGTGTCCTCCACTATTTCTTTCGGAAATGTGGCCAGTTGAGATTGCCAAGACACATCACCCCTGGTTGTAATACTCCAGCCCCCAACACAAGCCTAGGGTGCAACTCTCTATATGGCTTGTCTACATGGAGACTAAGCGATTTTGCTGTAGCTATTCCAGAAGGGCTAACCCAACAGAGGTGACTAACCGGTACCACGTTCCTTACTGCTCACCTGAGAGCAGGTGTAACCACTCCCCAGGGACGACAGGGGCATCCTCCCGGAACCAGGTGGCTGCTGGGGGCGGGATGCCAGAGGCCTCGCAGATCAGCATCAGGGGGGCATGCAAAGAGACAGTGACGTTGGACACTGAGTCTGTTCCCATAATCAGCTCTGGGGGAACTAGAGAGACAAGAGAGATGAGGCTTGGTTCATGGTCTCGATGGAAACACGGCAAAAGCAAAGGGGTCATCTCAGATATCCAGCCTGTCCCTGCCCTCAAGCGATCAGGTCAGATCCCAAGAGGCCTCAAAGAGATGTACTCAGAAAACCTTACTGCATTTCCTGCAGCTACAAAGCCCAGACCCAGAGCAAGTCACTGTGCACCACAGAGCCTGTCACTGTATAAGAGCACAAATGATTTGCACCTCCAAGGGTGCATTTATAGGTGCAACAAGTGCACACGGCCAGTCAGATTCCCCACACTCCCCCAGATAGCTTGACTGCTTCCAACCTCACTCTTTAACACATGTTGGCCCACGGAGTCTACCACAGGTCCATGGAAAACATACGACCTTGGCTTCTTGCTGTCCCACCCTGCCTCATGTTTTTAAACCTCCCACCATTGACTGATGGGGCAGCCAGGGCAATAAGCACACTTGGAGCTTATGAGACTCAGCCATTTCCCATTCCTTTGCTACTTCACATCTACTGGCCTATCAAATACCTAGTGGAGTTGCCAAGACATAATAACAGCCTTGAGCCCCCGACTGTCATGCTCATCTCCTCCCCAACCCCAGAAACAGCAGCACACCCATACCATACACCGCAAGATCAAACTCTCTCTCCGCCTGTCCCATTGCATTCTCTGCTAGGCAGGTGTAGCGTCCCGCGTGGCTGACTTGTGCCTCCTGAATATGCAGCGTCCACCCGCGGTCTTGAAGGAGAAGCCCCTCCCCATTCACCACGGGCTGCCCGTCCTTCACCCAGGTCACTGTCGGTGGTGGTGTTCCCGTGGCCTCACACTCCAGCATCTTCTCACCGCCTCTGACCACAGAGATCTTCTCTGGCCCTTCCCTGCTGCCACCTTTGATCTTTGGCAGTGCTGCAGGGAGGGGAACACAGGGCAGACACAACCGTTGGACCTGGCAGGTATGAAGTCCTTCTGGGTCTCATACAGGAGCCTATTGGCTGTAGGGAGCGACTGAACTGAACCGACAAGCCCAGCCTACTAGCTTTGCCAGGCACTGGGGCAATTGGGCTTCTGGGGTGAGCGTCAGTGCTCACCGGTTGTCTTCAAAATGCTAACATCCTACCATTACTTAGGGCCAGAGATTGTCCCCCTGGGACTGTGCTGGCTCCTTACCAGGGCAGCACCTAATTTTGCAGGTCACAGCTGCCTTTCATCATCAGTGCAGAGCTGCAGCTGGCAGAGGTTACACCCCAAGCCCAACATGGCCTGCTTGGAGGTGAAGTATGAGGGCTGCACCCCCCCCGGCAAAGGTGCGGGGAGCTGGGTGCTGCTGCCTCCCCCAGCCCCTGCCTGGCTCACCGTGCACCTCCAGACGGTGCTCTTGGCTGCTATGGCCAGCAGCGTTGCTGCACTCGCAGGTGTATGATCCCTCATCCGCCGTCCGCACCTTCTCAATGGACATCAGCCTCCCGCCTGCAGAGATGAGCTCTGGGCTCCCAAAGTCAACCAAGATGGGCTCCCCTGATAGTGGAGGTCAGAAAGGAAACACAAGGACACGTCCTTAGTTCCCTGAGGATAGCAACTCCCCATGCACTGCCCTACACATGGTTGGACCGGAGCTACACTGCAGCATTTGCCTCTCTCTGTGGAGCTATCCCAGTGGCTGCTTTTATGCTGGACATGCAGGGGCAGCTTGCCCTCTGGGACACAGGATAACATGGGACAAAACCAAGCCATGCCCTGAGCAGGTCTGGATCCATGCATAGCTGCTCCAGAATCCACCCCTCTGGCTCAGCACCACCTGCTCCAGCTGGATGGGATGAGGTCTGGGTGGTGTCAGTTCCTGTGTTGGGGGGATGGGAGGGAAAAATATGAACATGCCCCTACCATCCTTCTTCCAGGTCAGGCTAGGGAAGGGGATGCCGCTGCACTCGCAGGACAGTTGGACAGACTGCCCCTCCCTCACGGACAGGACGGCCGGCTCTTCTGAAGAGAACGAGGGAGGAACTGTGCCAGAGAGAAGAGAAGAGAAGAGAAGAGAAGAGAAGAGAAGAGAAGAGAAGAGACGAGCCCTGAGCACCAGGAAACAGTCTTCCACCCAGGGCACCCAATGGCTAATGGCCTGAGGGGCTAACAAGCCTGCTGGGGGCCAGGCTTGGTTTGTTATTACCTGGCTAACAGGGCAATTTGGGCCAGAAGGGCAGGAATTGGGAGCAAGGTGCCTGGGTGCTGGGGCACCCTGAAGTGGGAAGTGGAGCTGTGCTCTGAGAGTACAAAGCGCTCCATAATGCCAAGTACTGGGTAAAATCAGGCACCTGATACTGGGCTCCCACAATTCATGGATGCTCGTCGTCTTTATTGCTCTGGGTTTGGTTCCCCAGATGTAAACTGCACCACAGAAAAGACCAAGAGCTGGCTTTGAATGGCATGCCTTCAAGAAGGTCTGGGGCCACATACGCAGAACAAGGAGGTGAAAACAAAAATACCAGGGCATTATTTCTGAGTATCAGCCCTCCTGGGCACAGAATACAGGAGGAAAACAGTAGGACTGATGATGAAATCTAAGACGACATGAAAGGTATGCAAATCAACCTCAATTCTGGCACTTCCACCCTGCAAGTGATTCACTTGGCAACTTCATGAATGCTCTTAATGTGGCACACGCGCGCGCGCACACACACACACACACACACGCCCATTAGGTAGTAATAGCAGATCAAACCTTTTGAAAATCACCTGTGTGTTAGGAACAGGCCGTGAACTTTGTGTGGTTGCACACGTACACGCGTCTTTGAAGAACTGAAGAAGGGCATTCAGAAGGGCATTAATTGTACTTTGGAACAAAGCCCTCCGCACAAGGCATATTTTAGGGACTATAATGGAAAGGTGGAAAATAGATATAATTCCCTGCCTTAGGTATAATGACAAAGGAGGGTGTTTGGAGCTTAACAGCCATCCCAGGATGAACATGGCCCTGGCAGGGCTGGATGACATCCACACGAGCCTGTCATCACTGATGGTCTTCTGGCTCCAAGTCAGGCCAGGGGAGGATGAAGTTGTTTCTCCATCTCTGCAGGTTGTATCCCAAATGTACAGGCACAGGGCCAGTATTTCAGGAGACCCGAATACCCCCAGCTCCCACCCCAAATCAAGAATGGGCACTCAACACCCCTCACAATCAGTTCCAGCTCTGGACATGGAACATCTGATTTTCAAGGGTATTCTCAGAGGCGACCACACGATGTTGCATGATTAATAATGAGGGGCTGACACTGGGCCGAGAGGCCACAAAGTTGGATTGCCGACGTGTATCAGAGATGGCACAGAATATCCTTGCCCCCACCCAACTCCATCTGTAGCCGAGGGAAGGCAGGATGGAAAACAGAGCTCTTACCCCACACATTCAGGTTGTAGTGCCTTTCTGACCGGCCCCGGTGGCTGGACACCTCGCACGTGTACCTCCCCACATCTCGCACCTGAGCTTGCTCGATCTGACAAAGCAAGCAGAGCCACAGTGGGAAGGGGAGAAAGGCAAGAAGCTCCTCCTTGCACTCGCTATTCTAGCACCACGGCCAACAAAGCCCAGCAGCAGAGATGTGGCTCACAGGGACCCAAGCAGGCTGCCACGGGGTCACTGAGGCTCCCCCCGGAACAATCCTTCATGCCGGTGCTGTGCTGTAGCCATCAGTGCAGGGAAGCAAGGACAAAGGAAAGCACCAAGTCTGCATAAAGTCTGCCAGGCCTCAAGAGAGGCTGTAGGTGGCCCATTTACCCATGCCCCTGTGTCGCAGGGGAGTTCCCTGTCAGCCAGCTTCTGAGGCAAGGTATGGGACAGCCAGTGGACCCCAGCCAGGCATGGCAGGACCCAGACCCTGACTGCATGCCCACTTCTGTGTGTCCCCTCAGCACCCATGAGAGCAGTCACCTGGAGAACGGCCCCATCAGCTGAGAGCTGGAGGCCTGGGCTCTGTGCGAAAGGATACCCATCCTTCTGCCAGCGGGGTGCCAGCGAGGAGGGAGGAGGGCTCTGGCACTCCAAGGTCACCGACTGGTTGGCAATGACTGAGACATTCAGCTCCTCGCCCAGGATATTCAGGGGCACTGAAAAGAGAAGTGAGATCAGTTGAGAAAGGAGGTCCTCCCTCGGGCTAAGCCCTCTGGGACAAAAGATTCAGCAGAATGCGCCAGTAAACCCAGAACCATCGACCTCAACCTCCTTCCCAGAGATCACTGTGCAGCCTTGCTATGGACAAAGGCCCCCAGTGCAATCCCTGAGATAGCCAGGGTATTGCAGCCATCCTGCACAGGGCTCTGGGGTGACCGCTGCCTGCACAGCTCCTAGCAAACAGCCAGACTGGCAGCTTTTAAGCATTTTTCCCAGCTGAGTAGCCGCCACTGAGAGGCAGGTAGGCAGGGACATGTTCTCCTCTGCCTGGGAGTGCCAGGGGGGTTACACTTACCTTGCACCTGCAGGGCAGCATCCCACCTGTCTTCTCCCACCGTGCTGGTGGCCACACAAGAGTACATCCCCGAGTCCGAGACATGAGCACTGGCCAGGGAGAGGACACGTCCCCCAGAGAGGACCTGCGCCATTCTCAGAATGAGACAAGAAAGGAGCCAGGTGAGCAGATGCAGAGGGAGGAGTTTCCAGCCACTGGCCAGTCCTTCCAGCACATGAGGCTGAGGAGCCACTGGGAATCCCAGAGAGACAGAAGCACCAGGAGAGACCCGGGAAGCTGAGTGTGGGCCAGGCAGACCCCACAGCCAGACGTGGCAAGCTGCTCCTGCTTATTCTCACCTGCAGCCCCTCCATCACGGTGCTGGCAATGGGGTTGCCATCCTTCAGCCACATCAGTGTGGGGGTGGGGATCCCTGTGGCATTGCACTCCAGCAGCACCGGCTCGTTGGGCACCACGGTGAGCAGGCTGGGCCCAGAGATGATCTGGGGAGGCACTAAGAAGGGCAGAGCAGATGTTAAGCACCCCAGTGCTACCAGACCTCTAGGAGGAACAAGGGAAGGGTGGACTGGGGCAGGAGCAGGGACCCGCGGCATTGCAGCCTGCTTGCTAGAGCTCCAGGCCATGGTCTCCAGCAAGGCTGTCCCAGCCTGACAGCTTTTAAACAAGCAGAAAGTTAATGAGACTCAGACTGGCAGGTCCTGTGAAGCCTAAGGACAAGAGGGCTAAGGCAGCAAGGCTGCCAGGCAGCACGTGCCAGACACTGCTGGACAATAAGAGACACTGAGGACTGTAATGGGGGGTGACAGAGTCACTGAGTAGAGCAAAGTATGCTCCGATACCAACAGGACACTAGCTGGGAGGACTGCCACGGGACCCAGCACGGGCTCACAGGGCATTGCTCTACCTACTAGACGGACCCACCCACAATCTGGCAGGTCTCCAGTGAAACTTGGCTCCAAGGGCGCAGGGGCATGTCCCTGGGTGCCAGTGGCACAAACCAGGGAGCTTGTTGTGTAGATGGGCAGCTGGATGGGAGAGCCCCGCACCAGAGGCAGAGCCCACTGCCACCCCCCCTGCCCACTGGGTCACTCACCGTTCACCTGCAGACTGTAGTGGAGTTCACTGTTGCCAACCACATTGGAGGCTACACAGTGGTAGCTCCCCGTGTCTGAGACCTGGGCACGCTCGATCTGCAGTAATCTCCCATCCCCTGACAGGGCAATGCCTGGCCCAGCAGAGATCTGCCAGGGCCCCTTGAACCAGGACACACCTGCAAGGGAAATACAGAGATGGGCTGGGTTAGGAAGAGCTGTCACCTTCCTCACCGCCAAGCCACCTCCTCCTCCCTCACAGGCAGGAAGCCCTAGCCAGCTCCTTTAGAGTTGCATGGGAATTCACTGTCACACGTGGGGAGGGATGCTGTAGGAAGGGAGGCTCCCAGCCTAGCAGACAGGTCTGGGTTAAGCAGTCCTCTTGCTCCCTGTGTTTGGTCTTCTATCAGCAGTCCCTCTAGGGAGACTTCTGCCTCCGCCCCTCCTGTTAGGCAGTCCCGCTGCATTGCCATCAGCCTGGGGTGCAAAACAGGCAAGATGGTCCCAAGGATAAGCACTGAGCTGGAACTCAAGAGATCTGGGCTCATTTCCCTGCTCAGGCCCAGCTTTGTGTGGTGCCAAAGCCACTTAACCTAGAATTTTCTGTGGGAGTCAAACACTTAAACCCCACCGCAGTTCAGTAGGGCTCCTAACTGCTGGCTCTTTTGAAGTTCCCAGACTTGACCCCTCTGAACTTCTGTTCTCCATGATAGCCCACATCAGTTTTCACCATGAGCTCTTTGGGACCATCTCTCAGCATGCACATGCAGCACCCCACACAGTGAGGACCCACATTCAGTGACAATAAGAGCCCCTTTATCAGGCAGTTACTGCCATGGGCTGCAAGGTATGGAGAACAGCACTGTGCAGTGCCGTGCAACAGGCCTGGGTACCTTGGGCATAAAAGGAGAGGGCCGAGGTGGGAGGGAGCCAGGGGCATACAGGGAAGCAGGGCTGGCAAGTGACGACTGGGAGGAAGACAATGCAGAAAGATTGCCTTACTAGGAGCAGGCACCCCAGAGGCCAGGCACTCCAGGGACACTGGAGAGTCCTCCAGGACTGTCTGGTTCACTTCTCCAGGCTCGATGTTAGGTGGCACTGCAAGCAAAGCATGTGTCAGCTCATCTGCTTGGCCCCATCCCACTCAGGCCCTCAGACAGCCTGCTGTATAAACTAGCATGGCTGAGGAAGATGGCTGTGAGCATACAAAACAGTCTTTGTAGATGGGTTAATGCTGAGTACTGTCTGGATAAAGCACAGGGCTGCAGGCCACAGGACTCCTGGATTCCACTCCCAGGCTCTGGCACTAGCTGGTGGCATGGCCAGGGAGAGACCGCAGTGCCTTTGAAAACCTGGGGTCAATGCTTTCTCTTTTGCAGGGCTGCTGTGAGGCTTCAGTGGTCTTTGTCACACACCTGGAGGTGGCTGGATGGACGGCACTATGAAAAAGCACCCACTACTGCAGTGCAGCCCAGCTGGGGGGAACTTGAGGTTTGTTCCTCTGGGTTTAATTCACTCTCTGGCATGAGCTGGGCAAGGCTTTTGGGGCAGGTCACAGCCCAGCACAGTCTTATTGAGGTGGGGGATCCTGGCTCCTAGCCCCCCCACCCCATCACAAGCTTCTCACCTAGCACCTTCACAGTCACATCTTGCTTCTCCTCGCCGGCTGGGTTTGTTGCAATGCAAGAGTAAACCCCTTCGTCCATCAAGTCCACCTGCTCAATCTATGTAAGGGGAGAAGGAGGGATGGCAGAGTGAGACCTGTCACATACATGCACCCACACTGTCCCTCGCACATGGCAGCGTGGGCCAAGAAGGCCCCCCCTCCCTCCTCCCTGTCCCCCATCTTTGCCAAGCCCTCCCCAGTCCACATCACAGCACCCCTAACCCACACACACAGCTTCATGAACATGCCTAACTTCCAGCCCTGGGCTCTCTTGAACCAAGATGCCCAGCCATGTCCAGTGGAGCCACATCTACAGCCAAACAGGGTTTGCACAACACGCGCTAAACTGGCTGTGCGTATCAGCAGCTGTCCCCCAAGGCCAGCTGGAGCCACGTGTCCCAGGGGGCTGGTGCCCTGGGAATGCAAAGCCATTTGCCAGGTTACACTGGACATCTCCCAGCTGCTTTCTACAGGCTCCATGAAGACGACCCGTCACACCAGGCACCAGCAGAGCCCCCCTCCCTTCCTCCAACCCACAGGTGACAACAAGCCTAGCTCGACCTTCACGGTTCCACACAACCTTTGCCACCCCACATCAGTCACCCACACCCTCCGAGGGCAGTACCCTCCCCACCTGGAGCAGGCCACCCCTGGCTGCAAGAGTGCTTCCATCCTTCCACCACGCGATGCTCGGAGCAGGGGTGCCAGTGGCCAGGCACTGAACGGCCAGGGCATGTTGGAAGGCGATACTGAGGCTCTCTACCCCCACAATGCTGACGGATGGAGGCTCTGGCAAAAGGAAGGAAAGAGGGGAACATGGCTTTGCAGAGGCACATCCCAGTCCCTCCCCGCATGGGTGCAACTTCACTGGGAGAAACTGTCATAGCATCACAGTCCTTCAGCCATTAGAAACTTGTTCTGGTGACCGCCCCCCCTCCACGCCAAGGCCTGGGACTCTCCTCCGAGCGGCAAGGCAGAAGGGAAAAGCCCACCACTGAAGAGCCATGCTCACCCTGCACAGACACCTGCACCTCTGCCCTGGCACTGCCAGCCTTATTGCTGGCTTTGCAGGTGTAGAGGCCTCCATCACTGAGCCTCACATGTGGAATCAAAAGTGTCTGGCTCCCCTTGGCAGTCACCACCCCATCCTGCTCCCCAGCTGGCCGGTCATCCTTCAGCCACCTGCAGACAGAGGGAAAGGTGAGTTCTCACCCCACGTGGAGTAGTGTGAGGCCAGACAGGGAGAAAAGAGCCAGCATCACAGAGCGAGCACAAATGCCAGGCCTCTAGCATGCTTCTGAGACCCCCCACCACCACTACCCCACCCCCAGGGCAAATAAGCCTTCTCCATGGAGCAGCAGACAAGGAACCAAGAGGAGCTGCTGAAAGGAGGAATTGAGAGTGACCAGAAAGAGACTTGGGGAAACATGCTTAAGACCTGGTGGGAGGACTTCCTTGGTGGACTTACTGGACACTGGGGGCAGGAAAGCCTGTGACGTGGCAGGGGATGCTCAGGGAGTTATTTGCGGTTGCTATCACGTGGCCATCCCCTTGCCCGATCAGCAGCTGGGGAGGAGCTGGAGGAGACAAGACAGAATACATACAAGGAGAGTCTGTGAGGAGGGACTGGACCCTCAACATGACACTGAACCAGGGCCAGCACAGCCCAGGGGAGCACAGGGAAGTTAGGGGCCCAGGCACCCCTGGCAGTAACAGCCAGAAGTCATGTTCAACCAGAAATGACCAATTTATTGACCCTCCTCCCCAGGTGGACTCTCCTCTCTCTCTGGATGAGCTCTGGGAGAGCAGAGCCCTGTGTTGCCCCCAACACCTTGTAGCCCAGGCAGCATCACCCGCTCCATCCCATCTGCCCAGCTCACCCTGAACCGCCACTGAGTAATGGATGACGCTCTCCCCCGCCGGGCTGCTGGCCAAGCAGGTGTAGATCCCTCCGGAGTCCTCCGATGCGCTCTCGATCCTCAGCACCGCACCTCCCCCCAGGAGCCGTGTCCCATTGCTTTCCACCTGCAGAAGGCCGTCTTTGAGCCACGCGAGGGCAGGCGGGGGCTTGCCAGTGGCCGAGCACTCCAGCTCCACAGGCTGACCCAGGACCGCTTCCACCACCTTGCCTTCGTGGCCGTGTCCTTCAATACTGGGGGGCACTGGAGGGGAAGAGAACACGTGGCAGTGTTAGCGCTGAGGGGCTGCAGGAACACCACGCTGCTGTATCCTGAAAGCCACCTGCAGCTACGGCAGCGAGGGCTGGGTTGTTGCCAGGAGAGAAGGAGGACAGGACAGGTTTGAGACCCAGGAAAGCCACTCCTGTATCCCTTCCATCAGCTCAGTCCTGCCAGAGGGGTCAGAGGAGTCAACAAGGGGAGAGTCCATGAATCACTGCTCAGGGGCCAGGTTCCCCCACATGCCGCTCAAGTGCAGAGGTGGGGTTTCCCTTTGGAGGAGCCCTATGCACAGATGGGCATCTGGCTCCTGCTCTTTCCTGAATGGCATGGATGCAACATGGGCCCTCAAGCCAGCTCAAGCCACTGCACCACGAGCACTGCCCTAATGCCAGCCCCTCACTGCAGAAGGAGCAGCCGACGGGCATGCTGGGTGAAGCACCTGCCACGTGCAGAAAAACTGCATTCTTAAAGCTGCTCTCCTTAGCCAGGACAAAGATGCCCAGCCAGGGATGCACCGTGGGGCTTTCTTGCAGGAGAAGACACAGCCCCTTGAGCCACTGCTGCTGCCCAGGAGGCCAGCAGCTTGCACTCACTTTGCTCTGCAGCACATCTGGCACTGCAAGGAGGAACCAGCCCCTCAAGACTATGCACAGGACAAGCCAGCCAGGCCTTACCGTACACCTCCAGCCTCACAGCCCTCTTTGCCATCCCAGCCACATTGGTGGCCTGGCAGGTGTAAAGCCCCGCGTCAGCCGCCTGGGCCACACTCAGCTGGAGGCCTTTCCCCCCATCCCTGTAGGCGGCCTTGGTGCTGGAGACGATAGGATGCTCCTCTTGGAACCACGTGATCCTGGGAGCAGGGGAACCCCAAGCCTCGCACTGTAGTTCGACGGAGCGATTCAG